GAGAAAGAGACAGTTTTGGTTTTAATAAGACTTTAAGAGTAAGAGTTTTACGGCACTTGCAACACAATAAGTAAGGTTATATAGGTTATAAGTGCCAAAGAATAGATGTGTCACAAGAGAGTAACATACTAATACTACACAAAAAAGGAGGAGGAGATATAAGGACGATAGATGTTTTTTTATAGGAAAGAAGGAGCAAACCACACCAGAGCACCCCCCAACCACCCACAAAGAGACAGTGCTAGTGCTAGAGATAGAAGGACATTAAGATGGCCTGACACACAGAGAGACAGGAGAGAGTGCCTGTGCTCTCTGACTTTTTCACTAGGGTGTCGGCTCCTGTGGTTTACAAGTAATTAAAGGCAGAAACCGACTCAACTCTGACAAAACTGGTAAAGGCACAAAATTTTTAAAATCTGTGGGCAAAGTTGTTTCAACATAAATTGTGCTTGGTGTATGGGCGGGCAGCCTTGCTGGCAGAAACAGACGAATTCTAACGCAATTTTAGCGATGATCGCAAAACTTGTATGATCTGTGGGCGGGCAGCCTTAGTCTGTGAAATAATTTTCTTTTGTTTTAGTAAGAGTTTGACAGCATTTGTAACACAATAAAGTCATATAAGTGCCGAAGATTAGAGGTGTTACAAGAGAGTAACAAACACAAAAAGAAGGAGAGATAAGGACAATAGATGTTTGATAGGAAAGAAGAAACAAACCACACCAGAGCACCTGCCAACCACCCACTAATTTTCTTTGTACCTCAGTAGACTGGTCTCAACAAACTTCCACAGGGTTACAAAAAAAAATAATAATTGTTTTGTTATCTCCTCACTGACTATGCAAAAGTTTATTTCCTTCATATGTCTGGTTCAAGAATTTATTTAATTTTCAAGTGAGTTTTTACACAGGTTTTATCCAGCAGCCCTTCAAATATTTTATTTTAATGCATTTTTTTTACACAAACTGAAATCATCCCACCACCCACATTTGCTACGGGATTTGAAAAAAAACTTTTCATGACATGTCTTATGGCGCATCAAATAAAAGCTCCTAACAATTGTGCTTCTTGTCGAAAAAAAACACGTTTTTTCCACAAACATCATTGGTACTAGGTACAACATTGTGAACTGATATATATTGAAAAATCACAATTCACGTACAGATAAGACAAATCATGAACCACAAATCCATTCAAGGTCGATAATAGCCATTTCCAGTTTCTTTCATTGTGGAAGAGCAATGACAATATTAACAGTTTAGGTTTTTACATACAGTCTAACAGGCACATAGCTAAGACACATATATATAGCAAACTGGTTTTAAGGTTCCAAATTTTTCCTTTCATATTATATTCTTTGTATTCAAAACATGCACACAGCAAAAACAATCCGCACATAGTGGAGAAAAAAAAATTAGGGCCACCAGAGGGTAAAATGACAGCAACTTTCATTTACCAAAGTAGCTGTGATGAGAGAGCAAGCACTGTACGAATGTTGGCCAATCATCTCTCTATAAGCCGAAGGCAATATTGTAAGCCAAGAATGTGTTATTGCATTTGTCACAGAAGTGTTCAGCGGTGGATCTAGCCTGTTCAAGTTTCACTTTGCATGTATGAAAAGTCTATGTCTGCATGTCGACTATGTCACCAGAGTGTAAATGAACTTCCTTTCGACACAGATTACACACTATGTGACAGCTTGCCAGCATTTTGCAAAGTTAGGTCCAGGTGAAGTTGTTGTAGAGAGTGAACCATGGCAGAGCCTAAGACGCTGAAAGGCTTCCTGGTCAAGGAAAAGTGGCTCATCCCAGCAGAGGTGGATATAAAACCAATGCCAAAATCCCAAATCTGCAAAACAGCTTAAACATACAGAACTATGAATGCAACACATATGACCATAAAGGGCATAACTAAAGTAAAATTTTGACCCAATTATCCAACTTTGTCCTTCCATAGCCTGAAACACATACTGAGTGAAATTCTTTTGACAAAAAGATTTCTGCTTCCAACCGATTGCGCCATGTGCGTGCTAGACTGTAGATTACATTTAATGACAAAACAAGGTAGGGCCTATACTGCGGAGTCATAAACCCTACTATTTATCAAAAATTGAGAAAGAAATTTCAACACTTCATGAGAGAGGATATGATGTCATTTTAACTCATTTCTTACCAGAAACGGACATTGCTGGTTCAAAAGTTGCTTCATAGAAATAACCACAGCATTATTCTCAAAAGAGCATAGAGTACCCGGTAATGAAAAAAGCAAAAAAATAACACATACAATACTCATAAACTTGACATACTCTTCAATCTTTCTTCATGAAGACATCTCATTCCATGGACAGTAATTCAATGGACAGCAGAGTTATTTAATGTCACTTTCTTACCTCATCCAAAATATCACATCATTGTAATGAGAGTAAAAGTATAAGGGAATGAGAATAAACAACAAAATATGCATTATAAACATGGTACAATGAAAATGTCAGACAAATGAGGAAATGCAGCTTTCTTTTTGAAAAGATAAAAAGATTCAATCAATTTCAGCACATACTACAAACCAGTCCATTAAATTTTTCCTTACGATTTCATTAAAAATAAAACAGTTGTTCTACCTGTACAGCCTTGAACCCTTTTACAATAATCATTAAGCCATGCCTCTTTCGAATGTACACCTTGCATGCATCGAACCTGCTGAGTCAATAACTGCTAAATCTTTATCCGTTCAAATGGAGTCAATTACAGAGTGATGAAAATGAATATATATATTATATATGAGTGGATTTTCTGAGACACTTGTGTTTACATTACATAATCAGCTATACATACACTGTGACAATTGTTTAGTTAGACTCGATGTACATTAACAGAATTTAAAAAATATTCTCAGCCTGAGCTTTGAACAAATACTTCCTTTCCATCTTTCCCCCAAATAATCCTTTTAAAGAGACAATGACCTCTTTATTAACTGATGTATAATAATGTGCTCAAGAAAGAGGTAGAGTGAGCAGCGCTGAAGAAAAAGCCAAGCACTTCTAGGAAAATGAAGAGACTAGAATGCAAACAGGATTTTTAAAATCAAAATGCAGAAAAATCAACAAAGGGTGCCCATCAACATAAAAATAAGTCTTTGCAATGAAATAAGAATAAGGTCACAACTCATTGCCAGCAGTAGAGATTAGGATCAGGAAGAACTGGAAATACAAGACCCAACTCAGAAAAATTATACCCCACTCAGATGCAGTGTCTGTTCATTGAAGCTTCAACTTCCCACTTTATAAAAGGAGAAATTCTCTGGCCAGGCACATGCATCCCCTAAAATCTGAAGCAATTTAAGTTCAAGTGGACGTCAAGTAAAATGTTTCACTTGTTACTGATTCTTCTTCTTCAGGTGTCAGATCTGCAGCAGACATTGACAATCAGGTCACCCCATGAGTACTGACTAGAAACAGCAAAAAGGATGAGCAGATGTTTGAACAATAAGGCTGTAAATGTACAGTGGAGTCCACTCATACGAACTTGCATGAAAGGAAATTTGCTCACATAAGATGGTCCTGGCTTTGTAACTTGATGTCAAAAGTAATTTTTCTAGTAATACCATCCATCAAATAGTCACGAGAAACAGACAGCAACACTGTGATCCTCTGATATTAATATATCGGACAAGAACAATGTCAAATTATAAGGGATACAAATATGTAACAGTTGAGCGAGTGGCTTAAGATTTCCTCATCTCTGAGAGCCGGAGGAAAAGTATTCCACAGTACTACCCAATATTTCAAGTCTAAAAATAATTCATTCTGACATCTAGTACAAAATATTTTCCTCTTATGGTTTTCAACATTTTACACCAATTACAAATCATCCCTCACGATCTGACCAACTAGATTCTCTAAAGAAGAATAAATAGATGTAAAAAAGTCATCCTGACCCTCATCTTTCTCTTCCTGCGCCAGCTGGCGATACTGTGAGAGCAAACTCTGTAGGTGGGATCGTGCCGGAGAAAAATCTTGTTTGCACGTGTTGGCGAGAGCAGACATAGCAGTGATGAGTTTCTCCACACTGTCGTGGCCAGAGAGGGACTGGAGGAGAGAGGTCATTAAACTGCACCAGCCACTGGAAGACATGGTTTTTCGCAGCTCAATTCTGGGGAGAATAACAGAAAGCTCATTTATTAGCCAACAGAGAACAGTCAAGATATTAATACAACTAGAGTCAATTTCTCGTTTTTACGCTGAAGCATTAAATTAAGTGGGAAGTTATAATCTTGAAATAAATCTGTTCTGATGGAATACTTCTACAGTAACTTTACAATTACTCCCATGGCTGGCCTCCTGATTCATCTACACATTTGTCCCAAAGAACAGTGTGGTAGATTGTTAGATTTTTAGTCTTAACACGCCTGAACGTGACTACCTTAAAAATTTAATTGTGCATAAAACAAAAGCCTCAGCGTGCATCAAGCAGTCCACACACAAGATCTTTGGGGCATCAGGTCCTGTAGACTCAGGGGGACAGAGCTCTAAATAACCATGACCATCATTCACATTCAACACGTAGTCACATGGAGCACACAATTCGTTTTTCCTGGATTATAACAGACTACCAAACGGAGTCAGCAACAAACAGTACCTTATTATTGCAAGTACCTACTGATTATCTAAATATTAGTCCAGCGAGCGCTCATATGACCTTATGCAGTTGTGAGCACCGTAAAACACTTACCCAAACGAAACAAAATATTAGTCCATAGTTCAAACTGATAATCACATTGCAAATGTAACCAACGTTTGATGTTTCTCAGACTGTTGGGGTCAAAACATTCATGCAAAGGGTTTATCACAGGATGTAGCCATGATAGATAAAGCAGAATGAATCTAAACATAAAGAGGATGCCAAGTCAAAAGGGTGAGCTATCAAATTTGCAATAAGAATGTTGTGAGTCCAATTCCAGTCTCTGCTGGGTAGGTAGAACTTTGTACTTCATTTTTATTAATCAGTTCACCCATTTGCAAATGGGTACAGGGCAATCAATAGAGACAGGATGTGAATGATGGAGGTATGCGCCTAACGGGCTGCAATGGCATTCATACCCCATGGATCAAAATGATTACATTGAATTTGAAATAGAAAAGCCAGCCACAAGTGATACACGTGTGAAGCACTTTCACACTCAAAAAAATAAATTATATAGTTTAGATACCAAATGAGGACATTTTTTTTGCCAGAGTTGCCAGAGAAAAAGTTGAAATAATTGATAACAAAGAATTTGTGAGGCATCGTGGAGAAATCAGGTGCTCGTCAAAATAATGAAATCAAAGAAATCAGCATTATTTTCGTCGATGGGAAATTTTTTGCTAATTTTCTTTTTTTGGCTAAACACCATTTATGTCCATTTTTTAAAACACATTTTTGTGTGGATTTCACTGAAAAACATTGTCACTAAGTAAAGGCATAGAAAATGTAAATTTTCAGTTTCCATAGACTCTCAGGCTACGGAAGTTACCAAACTTTGGCGACCATTTTCTCATTAATTTTACCTCTGAAACCAAACAGCCTGGATCTCCTTCAATCGCAAATATTTCGACTTCTATTCAACACAGATGGACATTATTTTCACCAAAAGGAAGGCAAATGAACAGGCTTTAAGATGATACCGATAGCCCCATATGTCCAAAAACTGACGAGCACCCGACCTCAGACCATCAATGATTTATTTATAGAGGCACCAGCCATCCATGTATTGATGACGAGCACCCGATTCCACCACATCGTGACACATTTTAGTTTGAGTGATCGAGAAGCACATAATTATACTAGCAGTCATTTAGTACTATCGGAATAAACAGAAACAATAGAGGGATAGAACAGACACAAGACCAACCAAGGGTGACCTTCAGCTACCTGCACAAAGAAACTGACAACTCTGTATCATAAAGAAAGTTGTACATCTGCTGTCGACAGAAAATGTACAATTTTTTTTTAAAAACAAATTTTACGTGATCTATGAAGAGTGAACCAAGCAAGAACCTTTTTTAAAATCAGAAAAAAAACAAAAAAACTCACTCTTTATACTGCATGGACCTCTGAGACTGGACGGAGTCATCAGCTTGAATGTGCTGTATATTAAAGTCCTGTGTGAAAAGAGGGAAGTTTGTTTATTTGTTTGAGTAAAGAGAAGCACATCAACAAAATGGTCATTACGTGTTGGGAAAAAGTAAAGACAGAGAGACAGAAACAACAGGGAGAAAGTAAAGAAGCAGGACCTACCAGTGGCGCCCTCCAACCACGCGCAAAAAGAGTGACGGAATGCAGTACATATGTACAATAATAATTGTCTAAGAACGCCACCCATTATCTGTCGAGGAGAAAAGTAAATGTCTCAGACAGCTGGATGTCTTTCAAGGTTTCATAATAAGTGGGGGAAAAAAATGCTAGGGGAGACATGGGAAGGGGCCATTTGTAAAGGTGACTGCCTTATAGTATAAATCGTAAAGGTGCTCCCTAGAGCAGATTCGAATGTACCTTTGAACAACCCTGTCTATCTGAATGTACTTAGATTGGTACAATAGATGAAAAGCACATAGTAAACGCAACAATCATGTAGTGATAACAAAAAAAATAAGAAGATAACTGGAAAAATCAAAGAGATAAGAAAAAGAGAAGAAAAACATTGTGAGAAGAAGAGAAAGACTGGGGAAACAGAAGAACCTGGAAAAAGACAGAAACAGACAGTGACAAGAAAGAAAGAAAGAAAAGCAGTAGAAAAAAATTAAGAGAAAAATAAGAAAAAAGACAGGGAAAACTACTACGTTATTAAGAAAGGCAGGAAAAAACAAGAAACAAGAACGAAAGACAAGAAAAACAGTGAAAGACAGCAAATAATGTCTAACCTACAAGTAGAAGAAGTCCCTGCCAACCACCTAAGGCTATCTAAATCCTATCCAAGTCTGAGGTAAACAACCAGCAGCTGGTGACATCCTTTCATGACAGGAAGCAAACCTCTGTATCCAGCAAGGAGATGCTGTTATTGCACTTACCATCATCAAGTGTACATGCACGCACACATATACACATATAAAAAGACAGTGTCCAAGCACTAGGTTAAAATGAGTTGATAAGATACTTGCCACAATTCACCACACACAGATTTGGTCAACATATCATTTTCAATGAACAGAAAAAAAAAAAAACACAAAAGAACCCACTATTCATCCCCTTAAAAAAAAAAGAGTAATTATGACAAAAAACAGGCACTACAATTTCAAGAGAGACTAAAACAGACAGCAGTACTTACATATTCCACTAACAAGTCGGTGAGCAATGTGACAATCTTTATCTTCAACTTTTCTTCTTTCGCAGCAACAAAAAGATCTGCTAGTGCTTGCAGACCTCCAATATCTAAAAATCTTTTCTGAGCAAATGGGAATTGGCGTATGAGTGTGGACAGGGCAAAAAGTGATTTCTTGCGAACTTGTAAGGAAGTGTCCACCGACAAAATTGTCACCAGTTGTTGCATAAGTCCAGAATCCATAGCTGCGACTTGAACTTGAACGTTACTGAAAAGAGAACAAAAATAAGTTGTTGTGCAGTCCGGCACAGAGATAACACAAGCACAGAAAACTCTAAATCAAGGATAGGTCACACTATAGGCCATTCCCCGGCTGATATCTCTTTAATTTTTTTTTATATTGGCTAACCCGATTTACGAATGTATCGAACACATTTGTCCATCCCCGAAGTATTTGAGTCACCCACACCCGACTATAATTAATTTAAAGTAAGTCATCACAATAATGCCAAAATCTGCAGAGAACTGATTATGACGGTGGCAACATTGAAAAAGGTGTGGAACCAGACTGCACATCAAAATGTAAAGAAACAAGATAACACTTGGAAGAGAAATTAAGAATCATGCATATATATTGGCCCTGTGATATGGTTGAATTTTGATCTATTTGTTTTTGGACTGTTTTTATTTGGGGGGGGGGGGGTATTTTTCACTGGTAAAAGAGCTTTCTAAATTGCTGAACCTCACAAGTAGAATTTCTTGACAAAGAACGAACAAACAGTTAAATAGCTGTGTTTATGATGTAGCGGTTACTTACTTCACCCTTATTTGCAGGAAGACCCGACTTAAATTCCAGTGTGGGGAGAACTTTTATCAAGTTCCTCAATCTTTCTTAGGGACGTGGTATCCCTCTCAGCCTGGGTTGGCCCTGATAGGCAGGGTCAAAGCCAGCCTCCTAAATTACCTTATTTTGTTGATGAGGGTTTAAAAATTCTACATTAAAACTTTTTTTAAAAACAACTGTGTCTTTGAATATTTTGTAACTGCCATTGGATTATGTGATTGTTGAGGTTATAAGTAGCTCAAAAATCAAGATTCAAAGTTATAGCATTAGTTAGAATGAGCAAAGAGTCAAGACAAATAAATTGATATAGGTTTGACAAGAGAGGTTAAACGAAAAGAGAAGAATCGAAATAAAACTCCAGGTGCAACAGTTTCTTTTTATCAAAAACACAGTTGTTCAAGATACATGAGAAGAAAGGTAGAGGCAGTTTGAAAGCAATCCTAGAAGAGGAAGAGATAGGTTTTTTTCTTTCTAAGAATAAGTGTTCGCAACAGGTGACATCTCGAAAATTTAAGCAAAACTTCCAATTTCCAAGAGCAGCATTAAGAATTTCTTTTACAAGCATTTCTTTACCTTTGCAAGGCAGCCCCTAAAGAGTGTGCCGCCCCAGCTCTGATGTCAGGATCAGACTTATTCAAAAATTGTCTCAAACTGTTCAAGCCTCCCTGGTCAGAAAACAACCTTGCATTGTCAATCTGAAATGAATGAACGAAAATATGTTTAAGATTCTCTCAAAAACGATTTACTTTGTGGTGACTTAGCAGTTTGGTAAGAGATTTACAGAGCTTGCAACACAATTAAGTCATATAAGTGCCAAAGATAAGAGGTGTTACAAGAGAGTAACGAATCAAAAAAAAAAAAAAAGGAAGAGAGATAAGGACGATTGATGTAGGATACCAAAGAAGGAGCAAACAGTACCGGAGCAGCACCCACCAACTACCCACATTGCCTACAAATTCCTAAGCTCTAAAGATGCTCTCCCCCTCTTTTCTCTCTTACGCTCCTTCTCATCACAGATCATTGAGTATGGTAAATATTACGGAGGAAATGCTTAACACAAAATTACTTGTTCAAATAGTATGAACATGAAGAAGATAACACAACTGTACAATCGACTCACCTGATGAAGATAGTACTCCAAGTCAGTCAGGATCAGGACTGCCTCCTCTTTTCCTAGGCTAGGATTCTGCAACCTTGACAAAAGCTCCGTCACAATTTCTCCCTCAGTTTTCACTGACATTTTGGCATCTTGCATGACTTTCTTTAGTTCATCGTAACTGCGGAATTTCTTCTGCTCCTTATCTTTTTTTTCCTGAAGAGTACATACATATAGCAATCTCTCATCCCAATCTCCCATGAAATAAAGAACTGATAAAAAGAAAAACAGGCTTAACTGCCTGCCTTGCCCACAAGTATAATAATTTTATCATAGTCAAAAACAACCAAAGTCTCAACATACTAGAGACCATAACCAATATAAAACCAGAAGAGGGACTTCAATATTTAAAACTTTTTCCACTTAACTGTGTGCAAACAGTAACATCACTGTTTATCTTAGTAAGTTGTACTACAAAACAAAAGAAGTTTTCAAAGCAACACACCGACTGCATGCAATCACTGCAGCAAACAGTAGACTATGATTTGGTTACCAAAGTCATCTACCACTAGTTCTTTTTTATTTTTAATAGAGGTTTTGCGGCCCTCACAACTGCATAAGGTCATATATGAGCGCCAGAAGATGAGAGGTGTTACAAGATTAACAAACATAAAAAAGAAGAAGGGGAAATAAGGACGATAGATGTTTCATAGAGGAAAGAAGAAGCAAACCACACCAGACCATCCGCCAACAACCCACTCACTAGCTCTGAATATACACATTATATTATATGGTCAAAACAAATAAAATAGACAAGCATTTCCATACAAAATATATATTAAGGTATTTAAAAAATTGCGAAAAGCCTAATTAAATTACTTTTCATTCTCAAACTATTCATTTCATTATCACCCTCTTAACTAATGGGGACTGACAAGCTTGCTGATGGTATGTTTTAACAAGAAAAAGTAATTTTTGTAGCTAAGACAACCTCTTCAGCAGTTTACAAAGATGTTAAAGTAGAACATAATATCTCCAACTAAAACTCCAACTTTACAGTAAACAATACTTGGATATAGAACCACTCTTATCGTTTAAAGATGTTGAAAATAGTTCCTACCTCCTTCACCTCAGACTCCAGATCTTTGTATTTAAAATCTTTGAGAGCCTCCTTTAATTGTTCTCTTGTAAACCTTTTTTTCTCTGTGTTGATGAAGCCTGTAAATAGAATTCTTAATTTAGACAAACATTCCCTTACTTGTACTAACTATCAAATGGAGCCTCTGAAAAAGCAAAGCTTTGTACTCAATCTGAAAAGCACTGATTGAAATTGAAACAACACATAGAAAAAGAGAGAAGTAACGAGCGGGTAAAGAACACAACTTGAGCCGCATTCAAGTGTATAAATATAAGGCAGTTGATCTATATATATACGAAATAAATAAAAACAGCATGAACAAAGGACTCGAGTGCATCCCTATTCAAATGATTAAAATCCCAGGGCATCTCACACAGCTTCTCCAAGTCCAACCAATCATGCCTTCTAATGATGATCCCCATTCTTATAAATGTCAGCTGTTGGCATCAATGATAAAAAAAAAACCTGATACCTTTAACAGAAACCTAGAATACGCATATAATTTATAGACAAGTAGAGCTTGTACTTGGCATAGTATAAATATATATGTAATGTTAACTCACTTGAGCCTGAGCTATTTTTCACACAACAACCATTGCAGCCTGACAGTTTTGGGGTATATTGAATCGTTAACCACAAAAAGACTGAGAAAGCTATCATGATTTTTAAAATGCAACAAAAGAAAGAAAGAAAGAAATGCTCTTACAGAAGAAAAAAAACTGCATCTAATTTGTCTGAATAGTTTTTATTTAATAAATATTTTGAAATGTCCCCAATTTATAATAAAAATCATCTATCGCAAGATGGACGTGATTGACTTAGTCCGTTACAGCTCAAAAAGTGTCGCGCATAACTTTACCAAATTTTAAACAAAACAAAACAGTGGGTCAAGTATTGGCTCGCCACGTCCAATAGCTTGTAACAGAAAAACACCGGCAACATCAATCGATAATGTGCATCCCGTAAATACAAGCGATTCGGCCACTGGGCCGGCAGAGCCTTCGGTAAATACACGGGAATAGGCTCAAGTGAGCTGAACTGATACACAACAAAATAGACTTTAACCATCAAATTTAGACATGAATATAAAAGCCTATTGTTATGGGGAAAACGCAAACAATAAAACAAAGACAATAAAAGAGGTATTAACAATCATTTTGACAGAATAACACCACACCGAAATTTTTTTTTAAACCAACCAATAAAATAAGGCCTATGCCAATAATGTGAGGAAATATGTATACCTATCTTTTCTCCAGCATCCCAAGTTTTTATCCGCTCTTTTGCTTTTCTATGTCTTGCTTTTCGATTGCCAATGAGCCTAGCCTTGCGTTTGCCACTCTGCAGATCCATTTGTACATGTAAACCAGGTGGTATTTTTTGACCTGACAATAGGGAAAAAACATAGATTTGAGACATGAGTGTATGAATGAGTGTGTATATATATATATATATATATATATATATATATGTGTGACATCTTGGTGAAATCAGGCAATTGTCAAAATAATGAAATGGAAGAAACCAACATTTTCCAGGCCATATAGGGCTATCTTTACCAAAATTCTTTTTTTGGGGGAGTCAACACTATTTATGTAACTTTAAAACCATGTTTCTGTGTGGAAATTTTACGATAAACATTGACCAAAGGCAGGAAAAATGTAAATGTTCTGTTTTCAAGGGCACTCAAGCTTTGCCAAACTTTGACTGCCACTATTGCACTAATTTTACCACTGACACCAGGAGACCCCAACCTCCATCAATTGCTAATATCTCAAATATATTCTCTTCAGGATAATAAAAGGATAGTTTGTTTATTAAAATCAAGGCAAATGATGAACAAGCTTTAAGATAATACCATATAACTCTATGTACCCAAATATTGACGAGCACTTGATCTCACCGCGTCATGACACAAATATTACACATAACAGGTAAAAAGAACAATTTCCTAGTCTTTACGTTGTACAAAGTAAAGGGGGCTATAAATGAGTTTCCAGCTCATTGCCATTCTGATTGAAATGTCACTTTTTAACCAAGTACTATAGAACTATACATGGCGTATAGTCCAGGATAATTTCAAAGAGAAGACAGACCAAAAGATTAAAATACAAATATGAATAATCTTAACATCTCTACAGCTAATATGACATCTGCACCCTGACATACAACTTGATGCTGCATGCCTTTCCAATCAAAATGACATAGAAAAGTGAATAAAAATTTGATTCAACATATCATTTGTGAAGCATCGTAGTGGAAACAGGCGCTCATCAAAATAATGAAATCAAAGAAATCAGCATTTTTTGGCCGATGAGCAATTTTAAAAAAATGTTTGGTTTTTTTGCTCAACACCTTTTTGGTCAATTTAAAAACACATTTGGATTTTACTGAAAAACATTCATTAAAAGGCATAGAAAATGTAAATTTTCAGTTTCAAAGGACTCTCTGGCAAAGGAAGTTAACTTTGGCGGTCATTTTCTCGCTAATGAAACCAGGCGACCCTGACCACCTTCAATCGCAAATATTTCGACTTCTATTTCACATAGATGTATTTTTTATCACCAAAAGGAAGACAAATGAACAGACTTTAAGATGATACTAATAACCCCATATGCTAAAAAATTGACGAGCGCCTGATTCCACCACGTCGTGACATAATTTATCGCAGATTCAAAGGAAATGGTAGAAGAATATACTTTTTTGGCATGCATGTGTCAAGGTAATTCGATATAAATTGGTTTGTTAAAAGAAGGATCTAAGCCATTGTGTGACATTAAATAGCATGAAAATTTAACAGCTACAAAACTAAAACCTGCAGGGACTATTTCCAAACAACCATTAAGTTCTCCCATGTCAGCTCAGCTTACCTTTCTTAACTTCTTGCCATTCTTCTGTTGCCACAAACTCTTCTGTTACACTTTCACCGACATCATTTTCATTGTCTTCGACAGAAACTATACCATCATCTGGGGATAAAAAAAGAGAGAAATCAGAATAAACACAACATGGAACAAAAGATAAAAATCAACGTCAATTAACTTATTTGCACAAAAATTATATCATAAAAACTAGTCTAACCTGTGTAAGAGAACAATCCATTGTCGAGAAGAAAACTGGACCTCTTAGAATGAGGTGACCATCTTACACAGGACTTATCAAAATGATGAAAACAAATCATTCTCTTCTGACCGAAGTGCACATGAGCTCTTCTGAAACTGAAATAGGCTGGTGAATTGCTCAGTAGTTATCAATAGCTTCAGGCCTCTATTCCTCTCACACAGTTAAAAAGGAAATTAATAAGGATCACCCATGAGTCACTTTAACAAACGATGAACAAAGGGGGTAAACAGGAAGCTAACCAGTCAGCTGCGTAGCGCCTCTTGAAATTTGTCAAAAAACATGGTCCACATAGTGTGGTAAAATCAGGCACTCATAAAAACAATGAAATTGAAGAAACTGGCATTTTTCTGCCAGTTTGGCAATTTTTATGTAATTTTTTTTTTCGGCTTAACACCACTGTTGTTCAATTAAGAGCACATTTCTAGTTGTGTTTTACTGAAAAATGTTGATTAAAAGCACAAAAAATGTACGTTTTCAATTTCCACAAAGTCAATTTCCACTGTCAAGCTATGGAAATAACCAAATTTTGGAGGCCATTTCTTCACTAATTCTACTTTTGAAACCAAGTGACCTGACCTTCTTCAATCTCAAATATCTTGACTTCTATTCAAAATAGATGAGCATTTTTTTCACTGATATGCAGATAGCAAGACAACTGAACAAACTTTAAGATGATACCAATTACTAATAACTCTACATGCTTATTATTGACGAGCGCCTGATTCCACCACGTTGTGACACATATAAGAATCAGCTTTATCTCCAAATCGATTATCAAGTTCTCAGGCAGTGGCAAACTACAGTACTGGTAAAATAAAAAGTAAACCTATGCGTTATAAACTTGACAATTCATTTTTAAGCCAAGGAGAAATAATGACATTTTTAAAAATGAAGTGATTATTTCTCCAAACGCTCAGGAAAATAAATTTGACCTTTATTTCTCCGAACGGTTACCGTTCTCGAGATTTTTTGGTTAATTTTGCGAGAGTTTGGCGTCATCTTTCATTCTGCCATTTGGCGAGGACTGGGAAGAAGCAGTTTTTGCATCGAATTCAATTTCTAGAGCTAGAGATGTTTAGATGTCTGAATATTCTGATACTTCAGTTGTGGTTGGGGCAATGTTACCGGACTAAACTTCATTTGAAGATGCCTTCAAAGGGTACACTACTCGACTTTGGCCGTAAACTATTTTGCATTTAATCATCCCGAAAGTAAAAACTAAAAAAAAAAGAAAAAATCCCTCCACGCCCCCCCCCCCCCTCGTTCACACCTTAGGCACCTACACACACACACACACACACACACTCACACTCCATTCGCAAATAACCAAAAATCTCAGAAACGGAAACCGTTCAAGTTTATTTTCCTGAGCGTTCGGAGAAATAGAGTAGGCCAAAAATAAAAGTCTGATTTCAAGAGTCAACCCCTGAATTTTGAACAAGTTCATCTTGTACAGTGGAACTCGGATTCAACGAGAACTCGGATTCAACGAAATGAGATAGATTCCCCATTTTTTTTCTTCTTTAAAATCAATAAAAATAACCCGGATTCAACGACCACTTAAATCAGCGAGCTCGGATTCAACGAGGTCGCTTCCAGGATGAACACCCCTGCAGATGTGGCTTCTCTCATTTTTCTCCCAGAACGAACTTTATCTATTCCCAGAAACCATCCATTGTACCTGCATCGTGAACCATTATAATTCATTTAGCCGATAGCATGCGACTAATCAGCGGCCTTTTTTTCATACCAACACATGTGTTGTTGGCCCGCGCACATGTCTTCTCAAGCGTGTTTTGAGGTCGGATGGGCGACTTGCACATGTGTGGCTGTGTGTGTGTGTCAGGGAGGGGGGGAGGGGGGAGGCACTAGCGGTCCGGGCGTTGAACATTGCAGATACTCTAACGCGTCAGTCTTTTTTTCCCCTCGGCAACTGATCTTTATTTTACAATGATAGCTAGTCTTGACGTAGATCTACGTAATGAATTGTGCACTGGTCTAAGGAATCAAAAGTTGCCGTTTTCTAGGCTGTACACAGCAACACAACTTTTTGGTAAACAATCGAGATGGCACTGGCGTGTGCATTTGAACGAATCTGCCTTTTTTTTACACAGCTTATAATATGCAGGCACTTCAGGCACTACTTGCAACTTCTCTTTAAACATTACTTGCTCAGTGCCTGTAATTATCAACAAAAAACCTCGTGTTTGCATACGAACACTCGGATTCAACGAGATTTTAGGTCAGGCCCTAAGACCTCGTTGAATCCGAGTTCCACTTAGTAACACAGTAACATGATCAATATCTCTACAGACTCAGTAGTCCATGTAAACACAAACACATAGCATTATATCCAAAAAGACAGACATAAATTACCCGGACGAACTTCCGTAATGAGCGACCACCCCAACAAACACAAGAGAAGAGACCTAACCCTAACCCTGGCCCAACCCCTACCTCTACCCCAAACCTTAACCCCAACTCTGACCCTCTATTCTACTTTGTTTCATGTGGGCGCTCGAAACGGAATTCCTCCCACTTACCCTCATCAGTATCACTCTCATCTGTATCTTTCACAAACACAAGCGCTGACTTTGCATGATCATCAGACTTTGCAGACAACTTATCAATCTGTTGTGTCTGTTCACTACTGACCCATAAGTTGTGCATAAAAAGTTGAGATATTGAGAAAACAACCAAAACCTGTGCCACAACTTGAATACTTTTCCGAAAAATACTCATGTCTGTCAATACACGGTTCTCCAAGACACTCCGAATGTGCAGCTTGAAACGTTGACAAGTTGGACGGACCACAATGATTAATCTAAAAAAATGTTCAGCAAGTCAACTCAAAAAACCACACCACCATGCTCAAGTCTATTTACATCTCCTGGTGTCTGCAGTTTCATTTAACAGTGGGTCAAAAACAGTAGCAATTAGATCTAGATTCTTGATATCTAATCTAAATCTAGCATGCACATAGATCTAGGCCCCAGTTGTCAACCTTGCTCATTTCACCGGTTCCTGTTTTGTGAGAAATCTTGATACTTTCTTCACCATTCTCACTCAACACCATGAAAGTTTGAGTTCAGCAGCACGGTTGGCAAACCATAAAAGCAGAGACCTCGGCTTAAAAAGCACTGTACTGAATAGTACAGCGTGTATCATAAATCAATAATACAGTCAGTTCAAACTCAAGTTCAAGGCATTTCTTCAGTTGTGACTTCAGCTCACGGAAATCATTATTTCAATACTTTTTCAACTTAAATCATTCGTAAAGAAAGGAGTCATGGATCAAGATAGAATGTTTGTCTGTATGTTTCAAAGCTAGTGTGTTTTTAGAATCCCAAAAGATTCTTGCATCATATTTTGCTGCATTTTGGAACATAATATCACTTGGCGTAACCGCATTGAAACACGTCGACATTAGAAAAACGAAAGTAAAATTCCTCTTTGTTATTATAAAACATGAATCAAAAAGCAACGAATTTGTGACCTTTTTTTTTTCATTCCTGGTGAACACTTATTTGCATTTTCGTCTTTTTGTTTTTGAATACCTAAATCATAGGCACTATTCAAATAAGCCTGCATGTAATACTATACTTCCCCATTCTCCTTGTCGCATTTTTCAACGGACTTTGTTCCATTTGACATCGAGTTCCATGGAATTTTCCTCACTTGTCTTGTAGCCTACTGAAATACAAGAGCTGCGACTTAAAAGAATACAACACATATATAGATCTATTTATTATTATTATTATGACCAGCTGCTGTCAGACCTAATTTTTTAAAACCCAAAAGTTGTATCATTTATGCTTTGTTTATTTGTTTGTTTGTTTTTGTTAGTTTGTTCGTTTGTTTGAATAAAGAGAAAGACATCGCTAATGGTCATATCTAGTGCTGGGAGAAAAGACAGACAGAAACAATTTTACAGCACGGAAAAAAAGAAGTAGGACCTGTGACGCCCTCCAACCAATCGCTCTCTAAACATGCTCAAACTCAAAACAACAACCTGTATAAGCATTGTCCTCGAAAACGGGGGGGAGGGGGATATTGAGCAGAAAAATAGAATACACATTATAAGCCTATAACGTACGTAGGCCTGCGCAGAAAAGCAAATTAGACTAGCTCATATTATATAATATACATAGTAAGTCGTTAATAAATGCATCACTAGAGAAGAAAAAAAGGATATACATGAAAAGAAAACGTAGACGTGAATAAGACACAATGATATAAAAATCTAGATAAGAAAAGGTAAGATAAATCTTTATTGTCCAGATGATCCCGGCACACCTTTAAGGACGATTAGTGTGAAAATCAACTCGGGACTCACGAAAAAAAGAAAGAGAAAATCACCACCAACGTGCTGACTCTGTGAACACAACGAGGCCCTCCTCCTCCTCCTCCTCCTCCTCCTCCACCTACATCACCACCACCACCACCACCACGACCACCACCACCTTATTAAAGCATTGGGATTGTGAAATGCGGCATGTTTGGCCTACATTATTTTATACAATATGTATTGTGTTTACTAAATACTCGTCTCAGTTTGTACGACTATTTTTTTTAAAAAATATTTTCATCATTTACACTCTATATATTGGCCAAAGATTTACAAAACTTAAAAGCAACATTAAGGTCGGCGCTTAATTTCTTCTTCCTCCTCCTCGGTACCGGGCCATCACCATCACAACGCCAACATTACAGCCACGACCTCCTCAGGAAGTTATACGTGTACTGATCATACCAAAGAATTTTGTTTTTGTTTTTGTAAGTGTTTTACGGCGCTCGCAACTGCATAAGGTCATATGAGTGCGCGAGACACATTAATCATTTTCATCTGGTAGGAAATTTTGAATTTTGTCCGGGTGGCGGCCGGAGCCTACTCTTGGCGATTTTAGACCATGGGATCTTTAACGTGCACAACTTGCACACGGGACCTCCAAGATTTTTCACCCTAGTCCGAGAAAGCTAGGTGTAGTTCTTTCCTACCAGAAGACCATGGGTGTGGCTGAAAGACAGCAGTAAGAAGGAGCAGTAGAAAGGCTGCAGACTGCAGAAAGAGTCAGCACAGAGAAGGGGGTAATTAAGAAGGAGAGGGTGGGGGCAGAAAGTGGAGACGAAAGCAGACGACAGAACAGTGTTAGAGAGTAGAAAAAGGAGGTGAAAGGAACAAAATATTTTAGAGAAGAAAATTTTTCCGTTGCATACCCGGATTCGAACCCGGGATCTTTGAATGAGAGGCGCACACCTCAACATCTAGGCCACGAGAGCCCCGTTATAAAGAAGAAGAAGAAGAAGAAGAAGAAGAAGAAGAAGAAGAAGGAGGAGGAGGAGGAGGAGGAGGAGGAGGAGGAGGAGGAGGAGGAGGAGGAGGAGGAGGAGGAGAAGGAGGAGGAGGAGAAGAAGAAGAAGAAGAAGAAGAAGAAGAAGAAGAAGAAGAAGAAGAAGAAGAAGAAGAAAACGCACTATTGTGTTACAAAGCAGGTGTTGCTGAGATCGTGACCTTCACTTGGAAAGTTTCCGTTCAGCTTAGGGTATTTCTTTTTCTACAATGTCAGTAAAAAAAAACCACAGTGGATCTTTTTGCGAGTGAATTCGACAAGTAACTTGAGTGGAATGCGAGAGGGAAAGAAAAGTATGATAATGAAGGTTGATGGTAACGATATAGCTGGGGAAACCGGGAGAGGGGATAATTTATCAGTTTGGAATACATAATGATGATAAAATATGCGCATATGGGCCGGTGTCTGTGGAACAGGAGTTAAAATTGCAGTTAAACTTGTACTGTACATTTCAATTTGACAGGCCATTAAAGTTTTGATTTGCATTTGTTGGAAGAATAGATGTATTCGAATGTGACGGGTTGGGGGTTTTTTCAGCTTAGTCAGATCAGTGTGCCCCACAAGAGCATATAATACGTGTATTATTATTACTCTTAAATGCAATATGTTTGACTCATGAGACGAGGTGTGTGTACAACCTGCACTCCCCGTATTCTATTATGGAATTGTATTTAATAACAATACGGCAACACAAAACGAATACGAAATGTTGTTACATATATATATATATATATATATATATATATATATATATAGAGGTTAAGGTGTTGGCCTCTCATTCAAAAAGGTCCCGGGGTTCGAATCCGGGTAGCGACCAAAAAATTTTCTTCTCTAAAATTGTCTCCTTTCCCCTCCTTCCCTGCTCTTTAGCAATGTTCTGTTGTCTGCTTTCATTTCCACTTTCTGCCCCCACCCCCTCACCTCCTTTGCCCCCTCCTCCGGGCTCCTGACTCTTTCTGCAGCCTTTCTACTGTTACTCCTTGGCTCCTCCTTATTGCTGTCTTTCTGCCACACCCCTGATCTTCCGGTAGGAAAGATCTACACCTAGCCTTCTCGGACAAGGACAAAAAATCTCGGAGGGCCCGTGTGCAAGTTGCGCACGTTAAAGATCCCTTGGTGGTCTAAAATCGATAAGAGTAGGCTTCGGCCGCCACCCGGGCAAAATTCAAAATTTCCTACCAACTGAAAATATTAGGAGTGTCCCGCGCTCATATGACCTATGCAGTTGCGAGCGCCGTAAAACACTTTACAAAAACAAACAATATATATATATATATATATATATATATATATATATATATATATATATATATATATATATATATATATATATATATATATATATATATATATATATATATATATATATATATGTATGTTAATTTGTGATCTGTGCTGTTGTCATGGAAGTCTCTTCTGTAAAATGTGTTTTATGTACGTGGACCAACGGCCTTCAACTCTGAATAAACATTATTTTACCTGGTACTTACTAAACACTTAAATATTATTATACTCTTCGACACATTTATCTATATCTTATTTTAGCTACACGTAGTTAGATTCATGGGTGGTTGACGTACGCTCTGATGTGGTTATTGCTTCATCTTACCTCTATTAAACATCTGAATCTATAGGCCTACATTATTATTGAGCATTGTCCTTAATTTCTCTTCCTTTTTTTCTATGTATGACTCTCCAGTCGCTAATCTTTGGCATTTACATGATCTACTGGGTTGCAAGTGCCGTAAAACTACTAAAACTAAAACTTTTTAAAAATTACATGTGGTTCGATTCTTCTTCCAACAGCAAGTCTAGGCCTAATCTGCAGCCACAGCGATTGTCTTTGCGTAATTGTTAGAACTTAGTATAGTTTACGGGCGTATAAAATATGTATTTGAAAGGATCGCTTCCCGGAATGGACCGGTATTCAGGAAACGTGTAGTTTTGTAAAGATCTACTGTCGAAATTATGTTAATTAAGTTATGATATGGCTATGTCGCACTTGTATTGATGTGTGAGAACTGCTTCTATTTCCTACTGGTTTCAAGAAGTCTTTTTTCTTTCCTTCACTCTCTTTCTCCCCCCCCCCCCTCTCTCTCCCCCCCCCCCTCTCTCTCTTGCTCATTTTGTTTAATTGTTTAAGTGTTTCTGTCTGTCCTCTCGCCTCCGCTAAAAGTAAGTGCAATGAAACGTTCGGACTTCACAGCATGGAACACTGGATGAAATCACCACCAGTTTGATGATACTTTTATAGCTGCTCTCTTTTTATTTTAGTTTAAGTAAGAGTTTTACGGCACTTGCAAAACAATAAGGTCATATAAGTGCCCAAGATCAAGAATAGATGTGTTACAAGAGAGTATACATAAAAAAGAAGGATTTGATAGGAAAGAAGGCGCAACCACACCAGAGCACCCGCCAACCACCCACATAGCTGCTCTGCACCGTACCACACGCCCAGACAACCGAAATAGGTCACTGTGATTGTGATCCAGACAGGCGAAAACATGAGTACATAATTATGAACACATACACTATTTTTTAAAACATGATGAGAGAGCGTGAAATATGCCAGCGCCACGCACGAAGATGATGTTTCGGTTTTAGTAAAGAGTTTTACAGTAGCCTACTTGCAACATAATAAGGTAAGGTCATACAAGAGGTGTTACAATAGAGTTACAAGCATAGAAAGAGAGATAAGGACGATAGAAGGTTGATAGGAGAAAAAGCACACCACACCAGAGCATCCCCCGCCGCGAAGATGAGTGCTCAGCATTATTTTATATATTATATTTTAAAAGTTTGTGTTTTCACGTTTGCTAAACTTAAAAGCTCATTTTCTCAAAATTATATTTTTATATCCTACCTCACAAAATGTGCAATATCTAAAAAAACTACTCGAGATATTTTAAACATTCAAAAACCCCCGTGTTCAGCATTGAATTTCCTAGGTAAAATGATAATCCCTTAACTCGGAGTGGTCAAAATCTGACTTTTGGTACCTTTCTTAAGACACACACACATAATATATAAAGCTCATAGAGAATACCGCAGAGCGTGGATATGCGAAATACATGCATTCATTATTACATTTATTATCTATTATATATTATATCGAATTATACTTCCGCCTTTACTCCAGAGGAAAGCGGCGTCAACACTTCACTGAGGACCCCTAAGGGTGCACTGCTTTTGGCAAGGCGTAGCGCTGGTTGGCTCATGAGGTAATTAGGCTGCCCACTTGCGATTTATGTATCTGGCTAGAGCGATCGTTGTGATACAAGTTATTTAAGTTATATTGAATCAGTATTTCGTCATCTGCGGTTGATAAGAATTAACCATTGAAGCACTGGCATGCAGGCAGCTTTCGAAGAATGATTCCCGTACATATAAGAATTTAAAAGATGAGAGAGAGAGAGAGAGAGAGGGAGGGAGAGAGAGAGAGAGAGAGAGAGAGAGAGAGAGAGAGAGAGAGAGAGAGAGGGAGGGAGAGGGAGAGAGAGAGAATTTTTTGTTGTTGTTTTGGTAATTCTTTTATGGCGTTCGCAACTGCATAAGATCATTTGAGCGTGCAGGACACATAAGGCATTTTCAGTTTGGTAAGAATTTGACTGTGGATGCTCATCATTGTTTAGTATGTAATAGGAATTAATACTATCTTGAAAGGTGGTACATGTAATATTTTGCCCATGTGAAATGCATGTCAGGTCACGTTGGTTCTTTGCCAACAACAACACCCCCCCTCCCCGAAAAAAACCCAAAAAACAAAAATACCCATGTGAGAATTGTATTTTATAGGAACTTAAATAAAAGAAGACTTTCCAATCCAAAAAATTCCCCCCTCAACAGCACATTATAAGCGTCTTACATACAATCTATAATCACCACAGCAAACCTGATAGCATTCTGAGACAATTTCAGCTTCCTGTGAAAAATACAGTGCAAGCTACCATTTTAAAGGCACTAAAACACTAACAAGATCTTTCGGTGTCTATGGTCAGGTACCCATTCACACCTAGGTGAAATGAGGACAATTTTCGTGCAAAGTGCCTTTCCCTAGGACAAAACATTGGGCCTGAACCTTCAACCATACCTGCAACCTCACTATTATGAGCCTGGTAGTCTAATCACACTGGAATTAATCAACAAACTTTATTTGCTGTTGCCGTATCTCCAGCAATGTAACAGCGCCATTCACACATAACACCAACCTAGTAAGACAACAAAGTAGTAAAATGAAATACCATAGTCTTAATCAATTTTATTTACAAATATTTGTTGGAATAATGTTTGTTCTACAGCAAAAAGGGGTTTTATAAGCTAGTGTTACATAATCACCTCAGTAAATCAACTACATGCACCAGATTACGCGACCTACAAACAAACGAAGATAGAAATGATCTTAGTATTCTTAGGTAGGTAGGTTCATGAAACATTAGAGAATACTGTTACTGTTACTGTACTGTAGTAAGAAAAATGAGTAACAAAAAGTTTGGAAAGTAGGATCAAATGGACATTAGTAATTTTATGACAGTGATGATACAAGTTGTGGGGTTAGTATTTACACATGACCAAGTTAAAAAAACAACAAATAACTTTTTGCTTTATTAAAAATAACTGAAAACTACAAAAGTTACTAATAATATGCAGAAAAATTGCTAAACAGAATGTCACTTATGAGTCTGCCAAGGACTTACTAACAACTGACAACATAAGGCTTGTTACACAATAAACTGGAAGATAGATCTCATTACTACGCAGAAAAACACAGCAAAAAGAATCTTAGTATTTGGAGAAGTTCATCAGCCAACAAACATCTCAAGTAATATTTTACTCGAAAGTGTTGCACTTTTGATGTTCAAAGAATGGTAGGCTACACCATAAAGAAAGCAAGGAAATTCCCAAAACATGTTTGTTGTTTTGCTGTATTCAAAGTATAACATAAAGAAGTTCATCATACGCAAAATTGTTAAAGTCAAATAAAATTTCAAACACATTAAAGAAAGATCTTATTCAAACAAAATAAGTAATTAAATAGTGACCATTTCCTTTATTATTTCCAGTTATAGCTCTTCACTGCTGCTTTAAAAAAAAAGTTGCTGGCCTACCATACACAATATCAACTAAACTGACTTTGAGTATGAACCTGGTTCCACAAGTTCGAAATTTCAATTTGGAAACAAAATCTGTAGAGCAGCATTAACCAGTGCAGATATTAAGTCAAGGCTGAAAAAGGTCGACAAAAATGTCCTGTAACACACTGCCACATATTTGAACCAACATATACAGATTTTAGATGTCTTAAAGTTAAAGGAGACAGTATCTAACTCCTTTCAATCTTAGCACTGTTCTTTTGCATTTGAAACACCACATTTCAAAACACAATGAAACGATCAATCAACTATACATTTAATTAACACACAGGAATGAGAGCACAGGCAGATGCTACAGTATTTGGCTTTATATAGTACACGTCTGCGACAGTTATATCATCATACCTACATTGATCAAAGTCAGACTCATAATTTCAACTATTTATTCAAGAGAAAATGACTATAATGAGATCGTGAGAATTTGAAAGCATAACAATGTTAATGAGGAAGTGAAGATACAAGCTTGTCACAAATATGGCCCATGAGGAAAAGCGTCGCCATCTACAATTAAAAAAAAAAAGTTTATCATTCCAACTCAACAACTCATTACAAGACAATATTTAAGAGGGGAATAGGTTTCAGGAAGGGACAATTGTGAATAAAGACCAAGCCAGCTCTCTATAGACTTCACAGAATTGATGAATTCAATGAGAAACCTTCTGTTGACAGAATATTTGTTATACCTTATCAAAGAGAAAACTGAAGAAAGGAAAGAGAATCTCAGCAAGATATTTCTTTTATCTCAAAAATACAAAATCTCTTATCCTCCACAGGGTACACAGGAAAGACTCTGGAGAAAGAATAGCTATCATTTATTACTAAATAAAGTAATATATAACCACCAACAAAGACAACTTTGTCGAAAACCACTTTGATTTGGATAAACAGCACAGAAAGATGCCATACCTCAAAGAGACATTTCTTACTTCATCACTTGATGCTTGAACACAATCCTGGTCTCCATCTGCCTTGAAGTAAAACCGTAGTCAGGAGTTTGGCTTCTTTTAGCGAGGTTCGGTATAAAGTTATTTCAGACTAATGAGCATCAGCTTGTCATAGCAGCACCAGGAAGAACAAAAAGATCAACCAACTCATGTCCAATTTTTTTTTTAAATTGGATGTCTAATCCTAACTATTTGTAATACTAATACTCATGACATAAGACAAATACCAAAGGAACAATACACAAGGCAACCCTGATATATCTATATTTGAATAACACTTAGGAAGAGAAAACATTCACCTTGTACATTGACATACAAAAAGTACTTACTAATTTTACCTTAAAAGGCAATGATTGTGTCATCAACAACACAATTACTTTAAGAAATTGTCATTATCAAAATTATTTTTACACCTCCATCATCATCATCATCAGCCAGTGCCAGATCTGCGATATCATATAAAATCTATTTCACCCGTAGTTTTTACAACTGTACTACTTTTCTTTAGCAGGTTGTACTTTTCTAGGCATGAGTTTGTGGTGCAAGTCAGAGGAGCCACATATTAATAATGCAATTATTATGTCACAGCCAGTTTTTAAAAAAAAGATAATACATTAAGTATAATCTTAACTTAAAACAAAGTACGTACAAATACAATGTACTGTACCCTGAGCGCATTTAAATAAATAACTTTATACCAGGCTCCTTTCCCAAGCACAATCTCTAAATACTGGCGCCTTGATTTGAGCCCTTTTCAAAAAACTAGTTTTCGTCTTCTAATATTTTTTTCTCAATAGTTCACGTTCCCCTCCTCCTCTTGAGTGATAGCATATAAATAAAAATTCAATAATCACTGTGTGAAAGCTTTCTTCATGATGCTGTTGCACACCTGCAGCAGAAACATATCAATTTCAACACATCAGTATTCACAGCAGAAAACTATAGTTTTGGGCCTTGATGTATTATGAGAGAAGTAGACCAAAGTATCTCACAGTCTCCCTTACATAGCATTGTTTTTACTGCTGAAGAAGGCCTCTTTTCAATACTGATTATTTCAAAACTAGCAACCTGACCCCCAATCTGCAATAAACGAAGCATAGGAACACAAACTAGCTCATAGAGCAGGTTTTCAGGAAATGGGAAGGAGCAGCAAAAATAAAATGCAAGGGCTGTGTGGTCAGAATTTAAGATAAAGGAAGCATTTCCCAACACAACCAAATTAGGATTAAACAAGTTTTTCTGGGTAAAAGCTTTTGTCAGAACTTTAGAGAACTCTGATGTAGACCAAAGTTTTACAATATTCTCTTACCATTACATATACATTATGTAACAAGGAAAGGCAAACCAGACGAACACACAATAATTACAAGGAACTAATGAGAACAATTATCATTTTTTTTTTTTAAATGAGAGATTTAATTGTTAACAATTCACAACAACAGGTAGTAAAAAACTCATAATAGTCATACATATGCAGCCTACATTTAAAAAAACCCAAAATGTTATAAAATTCCCAAAACTAATGTAATGAAAAGAAACATGAGAGTGGGGATGAAAGGAACATGATGAATAATAATGTTATACGAGAAAGAACACTTCCCCCATGAGACGAGAATTATTTACAATGTAAGTTTTCAACAGCAACAAGATTTTCCTAGTGAGGAGATCAGCCATGTCAGGGCAAATGCCGATGTTCATCAGCTCCGAAGAGCCTCAAGGCGAGCTTTCATGTCATCCATATCCTCATCATCTACATCGTCCTCCAGAGCAACAGCTGCAGCAGCCCCGCGACTCCGAGACGGGCCGGCCTTAGCGCCCTCTGGCTCTGTCGCCGGAAGAGATTCATCCACAGCCTCTGGTGCTTTCCCGAGCTCTCCTGCCAGAGTAGAAATTTGTAGGAAATGTTTATTATATTGGGAAATTTTAAGAAATAATATTTCTATTGGAGCCACATGTAGCTTTAATAACTAGCCCATCTCATCCTCCAACATATCATCTGAAACACCTGTTTGTCAGGAAAGAACCTGAAGACTTAGTTTCGCTTTCCCAGTTCTGCAACTTTCACAATTAGTCCAGTTTTGTCTCTGTGCTCCATAACAGTAAACTAGAGTATATATTATAAACAATAATAGATATTCTGAAGACAAGACATAAGAACACCAGTGGATTTCAATTAAAAGGCTATATACTTCTAGACCTATTTTATTCGTTGAACCTACATGAATGTGATGTGTTGAGACATAGTTTGACTCATTTTGTCATATATTCAGCATTCAGTGGGCCCAAATTCGTTTCTGTGACATTGACGTTAAGAGGCTAAAACAAGGCATGCTAAAATTTATAATCAGATGATAAATTTTTAATCCGACAATGCATTGGTTGCATTGCACTAATATTTTTAAATTTTATCTTTCCCATTCATACCCACTCTACATACCCAAAATCACTAAAATTTGAGTTAATTTGGTTATATCTCAGTCCTTAGCTGACATGAAATTAACTGTTTTATGTATTAGAAAAAAAACCATCTGAATGTCTATCTTTTTAAACATTTGCTGTTATTGTGTTGTACACTGAGCACACAGCTCCATTCTTGTCTGTAAACATGGGCTCCTGGAGACTGACAATCTTTAATAATTATTATGTTCCTTACAATTTATAATATAAATTTCAGGGTTCAAGGAAGGAGGGGGGGGGGGGGGGGGAGTATTTGTGCTACATATAGCCACAATAAGCTTAAAGGTTATTGAGGCTCCCTAAATGTAGCCTACTGTAAACAATAGTGAGATTACAAAATCAGGAGTGGAAAAGCAAAACAATAATTCAGATAAAATGATAAAAAATTGAAAGACTCCAAAAAATAGCTCTTGAAACAGAAAAAAAATGCTCAGATTTGATGGTAAGCAATTGCTAGACCATAAAAATGGCAGTGGATAGTCATTGACTAACAGAAATACCGGGTACTGACCTGCAGTGAGATCAAACAAGACTTTGTCAACCTCCTCGTCTGCCTCCTCATCCAACTCATCATCATCCAGGGTTTCCATAGTGTCTTCTAACATCTCCTCAATGATTCCAGCCTGATAAGAAACACAAACATTCCACAATAATCACAACCAGATCTTCTTTCTTAAATAAAGAAGGGCAACAAAATGTGTCCATAAATGGACTGTTAATTTCGCTACAACCTCATGCACTTCAGCCACATGCCACAGTGACTGAAGTATATATACTAAAATAAAACAACTGGTACTCATTCATGAATACTATTGTTACCCGTATATTGTCTATTATGTCCGAAATGCCAAGCACAAACCAAAACAGCGCTTTGGACTGTTCAGACAAATTGTCAAGCCTGAGAACAAAGGAAGCAAGATGCAAGTGACAAAATCAATCTCTTCTAATAAGCAAAATGAACCCACAAATGAGGCTCAAAGAAGTGGACACTTACTCAACAACACATAGGGACTGAAAGATTTACATGGGTCAGTAGCTCACTACAACACTTTGACACCTGCATAGCATACCCCCCCCCCCCCCCCCAAATCAAAGCAATTGGTCCACATTTATTATAATAATGTACACCAAAGGCCAATGGCTCAATTAAAATGTTAATCTAAAACAATCTAACATTCCTTTAGTGAAAAGAATAACATATCAAGGGCTAGAAAGGCCCCAAAGATATCATTATTATCATCGCTACTAAGGAGACCAAAGTCCTTCCCAACATTTCAATCTGAATTTTGCTATCTTGAAAGTCACTCAATGTGATGTGATAAAGTCTCATGGCTGATTTTTATTTGCTTGAAAGTATCCATATAAAATCAATAATATGCATTTTATTCTTAAAAATATAACAACATACAGGATTAATAGACCACAAAGATATTAAATCTTTTTTTAACAGCTCTCACATTATTTTGTGACCCTTGAATAAGAACTGTGATCAAATGAAAGGAAAGAGTGTAGGATAGTACATTCCCAAAATTCAGAAAATAAAGTACAAAATTACTATCTAACTTACAGCAACAGGAGAAAGTAATCTGTCCATTATACATTTTTACTCAATATCATCCAAAGCCTAACATGTACCCACATTCTATTTTAGAACGAAAGACTGACATACTTTCATCATTTCTTTTGACATATCCCTCATTGTTGCTTGAATTTCAGGAAGTTTGATCAGCTGTTGCATGCTTTGCATGACCTCTGTGCTCTTAGCCAGAGCTCCAGCAATGCGTAGAGTTGCTGCAAACAGAAACATCTTTTAGCATTTTCATTCACACTTTAGATATTAATATTAGCGAACCTATGTCTTCTTATAAGAGTAACAAACAGCTTACAGTCATAAAAAGGTCACGATAAAGGCAAAATCCAACATGGTGGGGTTTCAAAGTTCTTTTTTCCCCCTTTTTTTTAAAACACAGACGAGGCTGTGGCATATCTGCACCCCAATTTAATAATAATACTAGAAAGCATTTGTATAGCGCAAAATCCCCCACTCAACAGGAAGCTCTACGCGCTTCACAAAACATACTATTACCCCAGCAGACCTGAGAGCATTTAAACAACCTCAACTCTCTAGGAAGCATATAGTGCAAGCCGCCATTTATAGGCACTAAAACACTAACATACTGACAAGATCTTTCGCTGTCTATGGCTGGGTACCCATTCCCACCAGGGTGAAGTGAGGAAAATTCGTGCAAAGTGCCTTTCCCAAGGACATAACGTCGGGACAGCGGCTCGAACCCCAAACCGGCAACCTCACGATTAAGAGCCCGGCACTGAACAATGGAGTATTTACAACCTGTTACTTGTCCAAGCGAACACTTCCATTGATTGACACATTGTACACCATAGCATAAAACAAGGCAGCATAACCAGTGTAATCTTGGAGGACAAAGTAAAAGAAGAGCCAGCTCTACCTTGGACTTGTCCAATAGTACACCCAGGCAGTAAGTTTGGCAGTCAATTTAGAAGAATATAATTTATAACACTAGCATGAACAGACACTTTCCACTTGAAACAAAACAACACATTCTTTTTTTTCTCTCTTTTTTTCAAAAATAAAACCATACAACAACAGCACTAAATAAAAAAATAAAAAAATGAATATAAAAGCTATTTTAAGAGCAAAGCCTGCTCATTGGTAATAGAAAATAGTAAACGTAACAAAACGTTAAAGGAATGATGTTTACATACACACTGAAAACTCCAGCTCTAATTGTAATACTTGAATTCAAACAGTGAAGCTGGAAATCAAACAGAAAACTCTTGAAATGTTAATGAACTAAGATGTATGTATTCATTTTCAACTCCTTGGTTGCACAGTGGGTGTACCTGGTAAACCCTTAAAAACAAGTTTAGTGTTTTGCCTTGCTCATATCTTCACTTCTATAAAAATTTGAAAGACAGGTATCTATTTTTAGACAGCTTTGGATGGGAATCACGTTATTGCATCTAAGACAAAGAGAGGTGTGTACAGGTGAAAGCAAAAGTGACAGGCATCTTCTCATGTACTGCATGGAGCAGTCTTACTGGCTTGACTAAAAGGAGTGTTTTTAAGAGGACAATGTCTACCTCAAAGGATGTAGGTGTCATAACTTTGCTGTGATATTGTTTACTTGGATATATGACACCTGAGTGCCACTTGGAGAGAAAGATGTGAAAAAAATTCAATCCCACTAAGCATGTTAAATTATTTTACAGAATAATATTTAACTGCAAAATATCTACCATTGGATAGTATGTTGATTTCTCTCTTTATTTCATATACCTTTGCTATATCTCCGGTTATAGTAAGCCAGCTATCACCCTTCAAACAACAACCCTGCCATGCACAACATTGGGAGAACTTTTCTTAGCACACAGACTGGACTTATGGATAGCAGTCAAGGGGATGAGTCACAGTACAGCTTGAATAGAATACACAAAAATATAGAGGCATAGAATTTAAAAGAAAGCTTCAGATTATTAAATTTAAATTATTATTTCATATACTATAATTCTGAAACAGGTACATCTTAACTAACTAGTAACAAGACAATAGAAATGAAAACAAAAACCCATACCCAATTGATGTTTCATGCCCATTTGAACAGAGTTCAAGTGCGCTTTGGACGCATACAGCTTGTTGACTTGCTTATCTGCTTTGATGATTTCTTTGGCCAAGATTCTGCAAGCATCCTTTTCTCCTTTCTTAGCCGACTCCTTCAACAATCTTTTCGTCTTCTCCTCCTCCCTTTGGATACCTGCAGTTAAAAGAGAAATTTGTGTTAATAAATTTTGTAAGAGTAAGACTGTACTAAATAAAATAATGTACAACAAACACAAGCAATATATTGATATACTTAGAAATGCAAACTTCACAGACAAGGGGCATACTAAAATAAAAGAACAACCCAAGATAACAGACTGACAAGATGTGCAGATCACAAAACAAAAATTTGCTTCTTTTGTGTCCGACGTATATTTTTATATATAATGAGAAAGTGTACATAATAATAGCTCGTATGTCAATGTCTGACAATGACCAATACATCCGAAGAGGAGAATATTACCAGAGCTAAATAGATGAATTTGAAGAATTAAAGGTTACAATGGGTTGTGGCTTCTCCTGAGACTGATGAGACAAATTCTGGCAGAGAAAAGTTTACCACATTTTGAACATTTAAAGGCTCCACTTCCACTCGTGGATGTGCGCAGCTTGCGGGCTTCTTTCTTGTTTTCAGCATTTCTTATTCGTAAAGCCTCACATGATTTGCTGCCTGCAGTGACTGCTGCTCTCCAGCCGGGTCAAGGGTCAGGAGCAAGGCTCTCCCATGTCGAAAGATTTACGTTGAAGTCCTTCAGGGACATTTTTAGGGTGTCCTTGTAGCGCTTTTTTGGTGTGCCAACCTTACGCTTCCCTGAGGACAGCTCTTTGGACTCTTAAATCAGGCATTTTTACGACATGGTCAGCCAAACAAAGTTGACTCCTTTTGAGCTTAGGTAGTTTCTAACTGCCAGTAAAGGTTTTACTGCGCTCGCAACTGCATAAGGTCATATATGAGCGCCAGAAGATTAGAGGTGTTACAAGAGAGTAATAAGCAAAAAAAAGCAGGAGAGATATGGACAATAGATGTTTGATAGGAAAGAAGAAGCAAACCACACCAGAGCACCTGCCAACCACCCACCAGTAAAGTCTGTGTAACAAATCACAAAAAAAGGATAAAAAAGTACTGCACACAATCTTCACGTACACATAAGCACAGTTTACGACACACATAGAGTTTGTTATAGAGAATTCAAACCTCGAATCTGGCGCTCAATGTTATTGCCTTCCTTTCTAAGTTTGTGGGTCCACTCGTTAACCTGAAAAAAGGAAAGAATAATTTATTAATACTTTGATTAGAAATTTTTTTTTACAGCTTTGTTTGGCATACTTTATTGTCTTCTGTCTTCCTATCTCAAGTGTTGTTTGAGAGTCAAATTCTGCCAAATTCTTGCCCCTCTCTTTTGCTATATATATAGCACACATGGAAGTAGCTCATATTCAACTTGTGTGTGTGTCCTTTGTAAAAGAGCATTGGCCTTTTTGTTTGGTTTTGGTGTTTGGTTCTGTGCTACATAATAAACAAACTGAAACAAAAATCCTACCTAGCTATTCTTGTTTTAATCCAGTTGACAAACATGGCTGCAAATAAGGCTTATTTATGGCCATACATAAGTCAGGAGTCTGCAATTAGGACCAGTGACTGGCTGCACCTAGGGCAACTGGCTCCATAGTATGACTACATAAAATCTATGGCCAGACTTTGTCCTTAATGTGGCTTTTTTCTTTGCTGAACTCAAATGTTTAATCAGAATTATAATGTGCAAAAGCTAAGCTTGTATCATGGGACACTATTTCTCATCCCTTTAAAATGGTTCTGTACTAAGTAACTCTAAAGCCTACCAGTAATGTAAAAAAAAAAATGCAAGGGGGAACATGGGAAGTAGCCGTTTGTACAGGTTTATACAGGAGGCCGTTAAGGCAGGTTTAACTGTATTTCCCTTTTTGAAAGACATTTTTGTTGTTTTAAAAATTTGAAGTTCGTTTATTTAAGGTTATTTTAATGGAATAGTTGGCTTGAACCATCTTCATCAGTCACAAATAAATTAATAAAAGTATAACACATCCAGGGTCAGGACTTTTAACGAATAGTTAATAGCTAGAAGTAGTAGTAGAAATAAAAGTAAAAAGTTTAGAATCCAATTCTCGTTTTAACTTTTAATCTGCTGGCATCAGAAGATGTGACTCTTATCCATTGTTGAGACTAACTTCTTCATACGGTCAGCATTCCTCACAGGGTGCCAGGGTCACTTAGTGGTCAGCACTCGACCGTGGAAGGTCATGGAAATGTGTGTTTATTGCTGTGATTACCATGGGGGTGTGTTAATTCATGACAATGAAAAAAATGCCGAAACTTTTATAGCTTACACGACACAAGCTGTCCATAAAATAAGTGTAACAAATACATGCATGAATAGAAGAACAGACCCCTCTCATAAGTTGAGAGTAGTTACACCCACTCAAATATTACCCTTCCAGACAGTTTTTATTTTTAAAATTATCTAGGGTTCGAAAAGTCAATTTCTGAATGACATCATAAAATTGCCCTCTATTTTTTCCTTCTAGATGCACAAGGGTTTTCAAAACCATCAAATATAATTATTTTCATCAGGAAATTATGTACAATAGGTTTATAAACAAGCTCATTTGAAAGATTTTTTATTGAAAAATGATAGTTTTTTGGGTTGTTTTTAAAAAAATGTAGAATTGGGGTCTTAGGAAGATGGGGGGTGCTCCATGCTTCCTCGCCCCTCTTCATGAGAGTCCATTTCAGTTTTGTTTCCCAGGAATATTCTTTCGAGTTCCTCATGTGTCTTAAGTGGTTCAAATCTTTCAATTAATATAAAATCATTTGGACAAACACATCTTGGGTACCATCTTTACGTATTTCAAATGAAGACAAATGCCTCTGTTTTGAACCAGTGCAGACAGTTCTAGAAGTAGGCAACAAACGCACACAAACACAAACAGACTGACGCACACACACTTTGGCTGTGGAAACACAGGACCTGCTGATTGCTTGGCGCGCATAGACTGATAAACTAAACAGGGCCGTGCTGATTCGACACCCATTGGTTGGAAATTTAGATATATATATATTATACTGAGCTAATCTGCGGGCATAGAATTTGGCACCCACCCAAAATTTGAACAGTCAAAAAAGTACTCAAAGCAACACACCAGGCAGGCTCCATATTCGCTGACTTCCTTTCGTTCTACAATGCCAATGCGACATGAAAGCCCTTTCTATGTCGTAGTCTATCACTGTTTCACTATTTACTATAAGCCTAACGGCTACTAACGGCAATTTAAATGACATTATCACTCTATGACAACTATTAGCTTCATGGGGTGAAATCTTAACTAGTTAATTAGGGGGTGCCCACTAGCGCGAGCGATCGGGTTGTTTTCTGGTGGTATCAGTGCACACTACAACCTCGCCACGATTGTATCCGACGACCTGGAAGTTAAAGTACTTAAAGAAACCTTTAACCTCAATGGCTTCCACGGCTCCTTTCTGCAGTTCCCTGTTGCAGTGCTGCAGCAGCCTGGAATCCCATAAACATGGGTTACAATAATTACTTTGATAACTTTCTATATCAAAGATCGTTCATAACAAGATAGTTCACTCGGCCAAAAAAGTGTCTGCGGAAGTCCACGCATTGGTTCAGACGGTGCGGCAGTCTTTACTTTGAAGCTCTCTTTCGTTTCTCCACAAGAAGAATAGGAGTAGCACAGTTTGTTAGATTCGCTTTTATTGTTTTTTACACAAGCAGGGTAACTCTGCTCTCCAAGTCCGCACTTTTTCGAAGAGGGCGCCACCGGATTTTGAATGTCAACATCGACACGTGACTCAGCCTTGCTGTGACAGGCTGCAAACCACCCGATCGCGCGACTCGCAGGCCTGAAAAAGCTTTTGTTTTTACAGGTCACCGACCGAGTTGATCGGTTTGTGCCATGATGGCCACTTTGCGCCCTCAATTTGGCTAGTCCCGACAATCAAATTGACCCGACCCGACCCGATCGCGCTAGTGGGGACCTCCTGTAAGCTGCAGTTTGCAAGGATTGAGTCAACTTTCAAAGCAGTGAGATTTCTGCACTGACTCTGGTGCTTTTGTGCTATTGTAATCCGCTCTAGACTCTAGTTGTGTTTTTTTGTAGTAGCAGCTCTACAGTAACTTTACCCAAGGAAGAGAAGGAGGGTATGAAATACAAGTGGATAGCTAGAAAACGACAACTAAACACTATTGGCCGATATCGTGATTCGAAAAATGGTCATGATTTTGCATAGCGCGCGGTTTGCACTGGCAGTTTCCAAGCTCCTTCCCCTTATAGTTTTACTCCATTTACAGCTCAGCATACTATTGAGTCAAATCTCTTGTACACGTGCTTAATTTTTTGTGCTTACAAAACTTTTTAAAAAGAAACGATCCGGATCGAAACAGTCGATCATTTATTGCACTGGGCCAGCTCTATTCGGACTCGAGTCCGAATATGGGTTTTATCTATTCGGACTCAGGTCCGGAAAAAATGTATTATTCAGACTCTGCTTCTAATGAGTATGTGGTGAGTGTAAGGAGGTTAGGCCTACATTTAATGTAACTGTCATCAGGTCATTTTTTACGTAAAACCAAAATAAGAACTAGAACTACCTACTAGGACTGTGTAATTGTGTCAAAAGTTAAAAGACTGCACTCTCACTGCCCAATGACAGTATCTAAGTACACGGTAACCGACAACTCAGGATCTTTTCACCACCACTACATGACTACAGCATTACCATTACTTTCACCACCATTTGTCTTTCCACCTGTTTTAATTTCATTTTGTTGTGTTATATATTGTTTCTGTAATTAATGTTTTATTTTAAATCACATCACACAAATTTGACAGCCGTGGCCTCTTCCAAACACCTCTTCCCCCAGCAAGCCGAGAGTGCCTGATTGCTACACACAATCTCACTGGTTGACATAAATACTTTGCCCCCAGCAACGTCAACTCAATTTGGTTGTTCTACTAATGACACAGGGAGGGCCTGTTAGAAATAAAAAAATTTGTCATAAAAATGCTGGAAATATTTAGAATCTAGGATGAACAAGGGTCGGAAGTCAGAACGGATGTCATGCTGCACAGTGCACTCAATTCAAAGTCCGAATATTATTTTTGTCTATTCGGGCTCGAGTCCGAATAGTCACTTCGTTTGTACTGCTTCGTTGAACTTTGTTTGAACTTGCTTTCTCCAAATTGACGTAAAAAGTCTTCTTCTTCTTCTCAGTTTACGTAGTGTACAGCATCAGAATCAATCTGGGTGGAAGAAGGGTGCTGCACAATCACAGACAACCAAACCGAAAAGTTCTGCAAGTTGCAAAGAAAATAATCCGAGTCGGCAGGCTGCTGCCATACTGGCCGTACGGTCGTGTTGCCACCATGACTGACAGTGACAAAGTGGGAATCCCTCAATGACGTCAAACAAGACGGCTGTTACTATAAATATCGGCCAATGGCGTTTAGTGTCGTTCTTTAGCTAGATCTAGATTCTAGATTAGATCTAGATCTAGTCTATCCGTTGTCGTTTGTGTATGAAACTGAAATGGAAAACTTAGCCCATTACTACACTTTACAGACTACTGGCATTACTGTACTGTATTACAAGTTTGGGAGGAGTCCCGTAGAGGGCCGGCACTTACCCTGACAAGGTCCACTGGGCAAATTATACAAGAGTTAGAGGTAGGGTTAGGGTCAGGGTTAGGGTTACGGTACACCCCGTTCAAAATATCCCTTCTTTTATGTGTTGTTATTGTTGGTCGGCCGGCCCTCTGACTCTGAGGAACTCCGCCTTCCGGCTATACTTGGCTTTGGATCTTCTAGCCTTACCATTTCCTTTGGTGATGCTTGCTGTGTTTTCCCAAAAAGTCCCATCTCGAAGATACCAGCTTCCTGTTCCTATAGCTCTGGAAGAAAAATAGATCTAGACTCTAGTGCCCTGAACACAATGAGTCAGGTTTCGACTTTCATGCAAGATCCTTATTAGGCCTCCTAAAATTAGTCAACAGAACCGACTCAACGAGTCAACACAGTCGTCCGATGTAAACTTCCGGTTAGATCTCATATCTTTCCAAGGGAGAGTACTCAACCTATTCTAACTTCTAACAAAACATAGGCATGTCGGCTGGTGGCTGGCTGGCTGGCGAACACAGAATATGATCGAGAGTGCGCGCGCGCATAGATGATAACTGTTTATAGATCTAGAATCTAGATCTAGATTGATCTAGTGCCTCTTTTGCGGGCACGACCGATTCCAAGGGGTGGGGTGTTAAATGTTGCACTTTTGACTAGATCTCACATTATTATATATATGCGCAAATTTTTTTTTCACAGAAAGAAAGAAAAAATTGTGCTCAGTTGGATACGTTTACAGAACCCTTGTTTGCCGCTGTAGGCAAAAGTGATCAAGAAAGATTATGTGGTAAAGCTGAGGAGAGACAGGGGCCCGGCTGACATGAAAGAAAAGAGGATCAACGTTTTGCATACAGTTGTTTTTCCCTGTCGGCAAAGAACTGCAATGAAGGAAAGGAGAAAAATTTAAGTAAGAGGAAAGATGGGGAGGAAAAAAAAAAGGGGGGGGGAGGAGGGGAGGGGGTGAAAAAAGAACAAAAGAATAACAAGAATTGATGGAAAGGTACTTGTAGATATTTGGTAGTCGGGAGAAAAAGAAGAAAAACGCACAGTGTTAGTACAAGCTTATCTCCCCCCCCCCCCCCCCCCCAAGAATTCCCCCCTCCCCAACAAAAAACAAACTAACAAACAAACCCAGAACAATTAAGCAAAGATTGTGACGAAAGGTGCAGCAATGCGTAGGTAGGTATGTAGGCCTACGGGTACTGTACTGATAGTCTGGCTTTTATAATATACGCCCACCAACTCCAGTAACCGATTGGTTTTAAAATGATATAATAATGCCAGAAATGTACGTCCTAGAGACTCGACGTTTGAATGCGTGGTCACTGGGGTGTATCTTTGAACAAGACATGATTGCCTTAACACTCGTACGCCTACCTTAAAAAAAAAAAAACGCACGCCCCCCAAAAAGTGCTGCACAGAAGCGACCACCATAATTTTATTATATGATGGCTTGATTGTAAGATTGTTGCACTTGTGTAGGCTAATATAGTGTATTTGGTATTCTTTAATGTGTGTTTCAATGTTGCACACTCACTCACACACACAGACACACAAACATATACGTACACACACACACACACACACACACACACACACACACACACACACACACACACACACGCACGCACGCACGCACGCACACACACACACACACATACACTGCACTGTACAGCATTGATTAATTTGAGGAAATTTGGGTTACAATGGTAAACACACACACACACACACACACACACACACACACACACACACACACACACACACACACACGCACACACACAGAAACACACACAAGCACGCGTGTGTTAGTTTCCCCAAAGTAATCAATGTTGTGTAAAGTGCAATTCATTTCATAGACCCACGCGTTTGTTTCGCATGGCCAGTCGCCATACAGAGGTCCCCTGCTGGCGGCACATATTTTTCAGATTGGCGTTCACTCAAAAAAGTAAAATGTCCTAGCTGTTACAGCTTAGATTAGTCGAAGAAGAAAAGTTAAGGCAACTGGAATGACCGCCGTGACGTCATTATAGGTTAAGGGCCTACTCACTGTCGGCTGACTGCCGTTAAAACGCGGTAAACGTAAGTAAAGAGAATAACTTTTCCAATTTTTGCACACGGGTCTAAAAGTTGGATGACCAACAGAATCTTAAAGTCCTTTTTACCCACAGAATTCTGTGATTTTACCTTATTCATAAAGGTCACCTCAACCTATTTCTTTATAGAGGTCGTGTCTTTGAACACGTCAATGTATCAGACAAGTAGACCTGTTCGAAAACTGGACTGATAGCCTAATGATAATGTTTGCACGTGACCCCCCCCCCCCCCCACACAAAATCACTAAATCAAACACATAAAATATCATGCATTAAGGGTTGCTTTACTTTCTTGAATGCTGATTCCCCTTTGCAGGATTCGCGTATCGTGCCTTTTTTTGGTTTGTTTTGTTAAGTTAATTGTGTGCGTTTTACATAATATGAGCGCATGGGACACATTTGGCATTTTCAGTTTGGTAGAACATTAATTTTGAATTTTGCCAAGGGGGTGGCCGAAGCCACTTATTAACTTCAGGATCACCAATGGATCTTTAACGTGCGCAACTTGCACACGGGACCTCCGGGATTTTTTCGCCCATATCCGGGAAGGCTAGGCTCCCTCAAATCATGTCCCACAATGAACTCCATAGCCTATAGTGGGACACTGTGGGCCTACGTATTTGCTCGACAAGTTGTTTTTGTCTTGATTGTAGTGGGGTGATTTTGGTTTAACAGGTGTGGAGAAAACATATGTAGTCTAAAACCCACAGAGCATTTTTAATTCGAAAAGGGGGGCAGAACAGGGCGAAAGAGGCGAATTATGATGTTTTTGTTTTCTTTTTTTGTTTTGTTGTTTTTTTGTTGTTGTTGTTTTTTTTTTGGGGGGGGGGCAGGGTTGCAAAGTAGTTTAACGCCCTTATACTTGACAAAATAAACAACGACATAGGCCTACTGAAGGTGTCATCTCAGGCTCAAGAGTTGAGTGTATTATAATGACCCACCATTGTTTATGGTCACACACTCCTGCATACATGTCATAATCTGCCCAGTCGATTTCTTTCATCTTTGATGTTGATGGTTTACATTATTTCGAGCATTGTCCACCCTTACTAGCCCATGTGCCCTACATCTGGTGTCCGCCTATTTGCTTCATAAATGGTTGGGTGGCAGTTTATATGACCAAAGTACAATGAATTGTATTTTTCTCCGTTTGAATTTGTTTAGCGGCGTATGTCACAGCATGCCTGTGTGATCTTGTCTGAACAAGACAAACCCTGGCACACTTTATCATCATTATTTGGCTTTTTTTTTTCTTTCAAGCCAATTCTGTCCATTCTGCGGTAGCACCACATTTCAAACACAAATTTTTTTTCTTTGTTTGTCCAGATATCAGTCTCCGCGTCATCATAATAATATTGCCTTTCTCACCCTGGATCAGGGTAAAGACCACGACTAACAAGTATGTTCTTCCTTTCTCTGTCCTCGGCTAGCTTCTTATGATTTTATCCCATGCCTTCCCACTCTTCTGCACATCCTTCTTTTTGTGCCCTTCTCCAGGTTCATGTAGAATATACCCTTCCCCTTGACCTCTAAAAAATATTTTAAAATTACAGAAGCACAAGCGAACACGTTTCAGTGTCATACCAACTTCTTTGTTAAAAGGTAGAGTAAAAGTGTGTACTTGGCAGATTGTACACTTGTTGTTCTTACAATACTTCAATATTATTTTATTTCTTATGCACTTCTGCCATCTTCAGTAATTATCATCCCAAGATGTTTGAATTGATACTTACTGTTTGTAGACCAAACACAAAAGATCACATTAAATATCTCACATAGATATTTCTATTCATTGAAATTAATTATTACAGTATGTGAGATTTCAATAAGTTGATCTTAAAAAAATCTCTTTTCATTTGAACTATATGTCACACAGCATCTCTTTAATTGATCTTGATATCAGTTTTGGATATCAACAAAGGCAAGTGTTCTTACAGGGCTCAACTATTTGAAAAAGTACTTTAAGAAGAATTAATCATATAGACAAACACTACCAATGTCTTCAGATTTTGCAATGAACAGCTCATTGTATTTAAATTGCTTCTCTTACAATTCATTTTCTACATCTGCACCCTCTTGTCCATTAACAAATAAAGAAAGAAGACAAACAATATTTGAGAAAGCAGAAATATTTCCTTTATCTTTAATGGGTCTTCAAAATTAAAAAAACTCCACAAGTTCTTCTCATGGGACAGTACATATGGGTATCATTAGTAGTGATCTGATACTGCGCTGATTTATTTCAATCTCTTTTATTTATGATTAATTGTAAAAGTGCCAAATCTATTTGTTTCAACAAAAATAATGTTAACTAATGAAAACAAAAAAAATTACTTTCCAGTAACCTAAAGCAATTTCACTGCATTAAAGACATAATAACAAAAAATAATTCTACAGCAATTCAGCAGCTATTGTGAAAGAAAAAAAACCCAAAATCATTGCTTTTATTGTCACTTCAATTCTGATTAAAGGAAGACGCAATACATTTACATGTGAAGACAACAGAGGAAAAAAATAGCAGTCTCATTTTTTATTATTTTTTACATATACTCAGAAGGGACTTCAAGACAATACAGTACTACACTTTAACACAACACATTATTTTAAGGGGGAAAAAAGGCATGATCCGTTTAAAACAGAAGGAAGAAAATTTTAGATCCTTTGGTGGATTTTGATTCCAAAATTTTAAACTACGATTTCTCAAAGTCACAATGAAATGTTTTTTTCCCTGTAGTCTTCAAATAGAGACAGCACACTAAAACATTGACAAATGCATTTGTGGTTGCCTTTATCATCAGTACGGGCAGCCAAAAGAAATGCCATTGCTGAAAGAAGTGTACTGTGTAGGGTCGTAGACTTTTAGGCCACCACCCGATGTGACATCCACAGATAAGATGCATCCCTGTAAACTGGACTTGACTGCATCAGCTGGGATAGCAGCAGATTGGCCTACAGATCACAGACAATTCAAGAGTTTTATTATCACATGAATGAAAGGTACAGTGAATGAAAGACCAACAAGAGTAAAAATGTTTATGCTGCAAGTAGAAAGGATGAAAAACATTACTACTGTGCCAGTAACACAGACCCAGGGTAGAATCTTTCCAAACCTGTTTCTTACCTTAAAAGTTGGGAAGAGTTTCATTTATCCTTTGAGCCCTAGCCATCAGTATACTGGTGGTGCATAAAATTGCCCATATGCCTAGCCACTAGTACACTGATGAGTGAGACCCTATCGCATTATGTGATGTATTAATTGACCAGTAAAGACATCTGCACTACATTTACTTCAGCTAAGGCCTTGTCAAGATGTCTGCATGATTCCATGTGGAAGTCATGAGCATGTAGTAGAATGAAAAATTTGGCAATTTTCAGCATGAAATGTGTGGGTTGCCAATCCGGCACGTCTAGAACAAAACGAGAACATAATCCTGCGTTTACTAAACAAGATGTTATCAATTATTTTGAAGATAAAGTATAGGTAGGCCACTAAGCTCTTATCTGCACGCAAAGTTTCGAGTCATTATTTATTACAGCTTTTGAAATACAAACATTCAAACTTAGTATAGGCATGAATCACTCAGGAGCTCAGGCAGAGGGGCACGGTAGCCTCAGGCGATTAGGGCTAAAACGATTAAAAGCTGTTGGCCACGGTATTTTATTGGAGACAGGTTATAATTTGAAACTGAAATACTCAACTTGAACACATAATATTGAAACGCTGTAAAAATTGAAACTTAAATCAAAACTGACACAATAGAGGCCGAGAAGATAGGTACTTTTTCAATTTTTGTGTGTTCTGCGTAATAAATTTTTTAAAAAACGTGTAGGCCTACTCCATGTTATTTCCACGTGCTCTTTTTTCACCTTTCGTTCAATTGGTTTCTCACGAACATTATGAATTTGAGATTCAAGTCACCCAATGTCATGTTTTCCAAGGTTCCAATGCAGTAGCGTCCCTTTTGACATTTTGCAAAAGACGTGAATTCACAATTTTTTTTTATATAAATCAAGAAAATGGCAAATTCAAGTAGCACATGTAAACAACCTGGTATACAGTAGGTCACTTTAAAGGTTAGGCTCCCAACAAAATGCTTTGGGTAAAAAAAAAAGAGAAAAAACGAGCTAAAAAACAGACAATGCACCGAAGTAACTATCCCAAAACAGAATTGCATTGTATAGATATGGAAGTTTATCACTCCACCACTGGTGAGTCTGGACCTCCTCCTGGTGTTGGAGCAGGTCTACTTGATTGAAGTCTCTTACCAACTCCCTTCTCAACCCACTGGGAGAGAGGAAAACTCTTTCATCATCTGATTAACCATTTCTTTGCCTTAGGACATACAAACGTTCATGGTTTGTTACGAAAATACTTAATATTAAATTTTGTGCTGTACTCTAGATGCCACGGAAATTGACAAAATTTGTTGTTATTGGTTGCTATAACATTGCATGCATGTCCCATTAATCATTCAGCTCTAATTCTTCTGTATGGAGATTTATCCACATGCACAGCGTGAGGATTCGTATTTGGACATTTTTTTTATAATGTGCTTTTCGGTAGGCCTACCAAATTTGCTTGTAATGCTTTACTGCTAGTACTAGTATTGCAAGCAATTGATAAACACAGGTCTAGTCCTGCACACGGAAGCATGCTCTTGCAAATTGTAAACATCAAAATGACTGAAAAAAGGCAGCAAATTTCACTTTTTTGAATAAGGTAGGCTATTTGCTAGTTATTATTCAAAATTATAGGGAAAACGAGTAAATAGTAGATGAAGATGACACTATAGAAGACCCGGGTCCAATTACCAAATATGTCATGAGTGGGTCAGAACCAGACAATGAGTCCACTAACACTGATTCTGCTCTCCAGGCTAACAAGCTCAAATTGAGAATTGGTGCCGACAGAAGGAACACATTCTCCCTGGCAATGAACGGGTTAAATGACAAACAAATACAAATGATAAAAAAGCAGAACAGACAAACCATTACAGCTGACTTACTTGAGCTGCCACCAATAAAGAATTGGTAAGAATCTACTGGAACAATAGCATGGCTCAATGGTATGTTAGCCCTTCCACGTATCACACCATCAACTGAGGAAAGAATGGAGGGTGGGTAATAGATAAAATAAGATAATATACATCTTTATTATCCAGATCCTGGCACTTTGGTTTTTCTGTTTCACCACATGTACACACACACACACACACACACACACACTGGAGCACTGGTTATCATTCTTGACAATAACAATGTAACAAGTAAATCTACATTGCAGAAATTCAATGATAAAACAGGAGATTTAGACACAACAAGTTCACTAAACTACTTAATTATTCAAGTTTAAAGCACTGACCATCAAATATCACGATACCGTTTGCTCTACAATAATGCTACCAACCTGTGAGAGTTGCTTCTCTGGTGTGCAACTCCAAGATAAGGTAGTGCGGCTGGTTGTCACAGATACCGAGGGATGACACGAGTGGTAAAGTCAGAGGCTCAGTGACACCATTATATGATGGATACAGGTGTAGCCGCACCTGGAAAGTGATGAGAAAACCAATGCAAATTGCGCAATCAGAGTGTACATGATGAAATTCTGATATTTAAAAACTATACTATATTCAGCTAAAAGAGGAAGTCGATGATCGGAGCAAGAATAAAATCCTTAACATGTTCTAAAGAGTGATTCAAAAGCAAGAAAAAAGCTGAATAAGTGTTATAGTGCAGACTTAGCTCTTATTTTTAAAAATTCAAGAACAGTTTATCAGTTTTGGCTTCTTGTCATCAGCTACTCACATTGTACAGAAATATGGAGCAGAAAGGAAAGTGTTAACACAAAGACACAGGTAAAAATTTGGTAAACATATTTCAGTAGGCCTACATGCTTTAGTTTCTTTTCTTTTCTTTTTATGTGTTATGGATATATCGGAACCCCCCCCCCCCCCCCCCCCCCCAAACCCCACTTTTATTTCAGGAATGAGAGTACAAAAAGACCTAAGGAAAGATATGAGCAAAGAAAGGAAAACAACATCTACCTACCTGCTGATCCAATACATCAAGGACAATAAACTGTCCAGAAGCTGGTTTATAGAGCATTATAAGAAGACCAGAGGCAGATGACGTTGTCAGCCTCAGTCCAACCTTGATAAAGTTATCCACATTGACCAAACCTGTTGGCAATTTGAAAACATGAAGAGTGTTATCATACAGAAAGGCCATTTCTTCACCCTTTCAAATGATTAATCGCACTTCAAAGAACATATAGAAAATTTACATGCTTACGACATAAAAACATCAAGCCATGGATGACGGTTGAACAGGTCGCAGGAAAGAAACTAATCTATCATTAATCATATATAATCCCATATTTAGGCAGACAAACCCCCCCATTTTAGGAAAGGGAATAAGGGGCTGCTCTGGTGAGTTGAGACGTTTGTGATAATTAGTAATTGCTTGTGATTATTTCCTTTACTTTTCTCTTAGCAAGGTCTATACCTTCTCTTCCTCCTTGGATATTAAAGGTCATCAACAGTTTATGATTGACAAACTATTAATTATTACTGTTATTGTTGTTATTATTATCATTATTATAACCCCATTAACCTCAATCATTAAACTTGTCAGTATTTTTTACAGTTTATGAATATTATAGTAGAAAGCTATATATCTTGAAAGCATTCTATAAATTATACTGCATCAGAAAAATGCGAGCTTGATGCCGCCCATAAAAACTCATTTTTCTTTGTCAATTTACACCGCAGTTGAGAGGCTATAAACTGCCCAGTTGCTCAATGACCCTTTAAACAAATGTTGGGGCCTTCCTCTAAAAGGCAAGACAGCCCTGCTACCTTATCAGCTCATCATTTTGCTAGATCTTTGTTAAGGTCACACTGGAAGGAATGAAATGAACTAAATAAAAACACAAATTGCTTGTCCCGCCAAGAACAAGTGATTATCTTCAGACTAACAACACATCCCACAAGACCCATACAACAGATACGTACATATATTTTAAATTAGTAGGCCTACAATCTCCAAAATGTCAATGTAAAAAAGTGAACCAAACTGTGGAACATACTCTCCAGCAGTGCAGGACACACAAGGTCCTGAGACAGGAACTGTGGCCAAACCCATCACCACTACAGGAGAAGCTGTAGGAGTCAACAGAAGTAATGAGCAGGACAGCCCAGTTTATGATAGATACTGAACTTCCAAATTCAAGTGTGATGTGACCGAGAAGAAGAAGAAAAGCAAATAGCTTACCTAATCCCAGGTAGGAATTGACACCAGACAGTGATACTCCATAGTACACATTCAGGGGTGCTTGATGGAAAACTTTGCGGTCCAGGTCACTGCAAATAGTAATTAAAATAACTTTGAAAAGACTAACTAAATTTTTATAATGGGGTTTTGGATTTCAATTGCAAGGACACAAATCTTTCCATACTGAAAGAGCCTCTATCTGTTTGACCATCAGTTAAGACAAGTTTAAGACCAATGTGACTTCTCATCAGAAAAACTGTGGAAAGCTGTTTGAACATCACTAATCAAAAGCTTGTCAAATATAATAATCTAAAAAGGCAACTTGTGGAAAACAAATAAATGAACAAAACCAAATACACTTGACAAAAACGCAAATACTGTTACTGTTGAAAGTAAATTTTGGAGGTCATTTAATCAGAAAGCAAGCTTTTAACATTACTCCCATCTTAAGCCCCTGAAATGAAAACTCACTCCATAATTTATACAGTGGAACTCGGATTTAACGAGCTTGGATTCAACGAGAACTCGGATTCAACGAGAGGAGATAGATTCCCCGATTTTTTCTTCTTTAAAATCAATAAAAGTAACCCGGATTCAACGAGCACTTAAATCAGCTAGCTCGGATTCAACGAGGTCGCTTCCAGGGGGAACAGCCCCCACAGACGTGGCTTCGCTCATTTTTCTCCAAGAATGAACTTTATCTATTCCCGGAAACCATTCATTGCTCCTGCATCGTGAACTATTGTTCACTTAGTCGATTGAATGCCACCAATCAGCAGCCTTTTTTCATACTATACCAACACATGTGCTGTTGGCACACGCAAGTGTATACTCTGACGTATGTCGGGGTTTGATGGGCGGCCTGTACACATGTGACTGTGTCGGGGAGGGGCACCAGCGGTCCGGGCATTGAACATCGCAGATACAAACGCGTCATTATCTTTTTTCCCCCTCAGCAACTGATCATTATTATATAAGCTAGTATTGACGTAAATCTATGTAATGAATTGAGGGCTGGTCTAAGGAATCAAAAGTTGCCGTGTGCTAGGCTCAACACAGCAACACAACTTTTTGGCAAACGATCGAGATGACACAGGCGTGCATTTGAACGAATTGGTCTTTTTTTTTTACACAGCTCATCATATGCAGGCATTTCAGGCACTACTTGTTACTTCTCTTTACACATTATGTGCTCAGTGCCTGTAATAATCTACACAAAACCTCATGTTTGCTATTACGAACACTCGGATTCAACGAGGTTTTAGGTCAGGCCCGAGTTGTTGTCATAGGTGTCAGCTGAACGCTTAACATACGAGATATTACCTGAAATTCAATCTCTGTTGTTTTGGATCCAGTCGAAGGACCAAAGACTTTATTGCTCCAGCAAAGTACGTTTTGTCCACCTGAAATGGTAAGCAATGGATTGATCACACAGTTCGAGAGGTAAGTAACAGTACTGATTAATTATTCAAGAAACTAATGACCTCTTGTAATAGGGATTTCTATGAGAAACAGAAGTAAACAATCTTTTGCAAAGATACCCCCAATATTTAATACTTTCTCTACGGCTGCCATTTCAATTAAATAATGCGCTGACAAACAAAGGGAAACCGTGTAACTTCCTACGGCTTTTACATCAGAGGAAGTTCTTCAATTGTATATTTCTGAGGTGAGAGATGGGAAGCTATAAAACATGATGCATCACCATAAGAAAAAAATCAAGCGAAGAAAGGCTTACCTGTGTTTTGAGATCATCTGGCAAGGCAGAGAGGGCAGTGTTGTAGCCTGACATACCAGCCACATTGACTCCATTACTAGGGGGGATGTTGATTTGTGACAGGGTGTCAGGATTCTCTTTGTTGTTCACGTAGTCTTTGCCCGACTCAAGAGCAACGTAGTCATTGATCTTAATGACACTCAGCTTGGGAAAAAAAGAAACACTTTCGTTAAGTGCAAGTGATGAACAAGATCACATAGTGCTCCTAAATAACACAAATTCGTTTTTGATGCTGGAAACAAACGTGGTACAAAAATGCATCCTATATTCACCTATCAATAATCCAATAAACATTTCCTCAAAGTGTTTAATGTAAATAAGTCTTTTGATGTTTAGCAAAGTGGAATTATATTACGATGCAAGCACACTAATTTCAAAATTGACCAACTCCTCTTGAAATAGTATAAGATCTGTCTTCAGAACATCAGTGTGAAAGCTCTTACATGTATTAGCAAAAACAAGCTTTCATATTTATTCCTTTCCCTTATATTCACACAAAAACTGTCGATTTTTAGATCATAATAATATTACTTTTAGTTTCTTCCAAAACATTTCTTAAGGGTAAATCTCAAAGTGGCTTGAGCCAGTATGACATGATGTTGTGGCTTAATGTTTAGGTAAGCTGAGAAGAACAAACTGCAACTGGAAAAATATGTTTAATTTCATTTGTCATAAATTTTATTTTATCAGTCACCAAAACCAGCATCTGTGGTGCAGTGGTAAAGCACTTTGTTGTGGCAATCAGGAGACCTAAGTTCAATTTCCAAAAGGGGAGAACATTTTAATAAAGCATCTCAGTCTTTTTGCTGGGATGTTCTATCCCTGTCAGCCCAGGTTGGCCCTGACAGGCAGGGGTGGAAGCCTGCCTCCTAAATGATCTAAATTTTATTGATGGAGGGTGTAAAAAACCCTACATTTACCAAAACAAAAAACTAAAACTAACCCCCCCCCCCCCCTACATTTACCAAAACAAAAAACTTTAAAAAACCCCAACACCAAAGGCACCTCATGGTATTGTGCATCGTTGTATCGATCCAAGAGCTGTGCTTGGCGCTCCTCTCCTAGAGAGGACTTGAGCCGTAGATGGATGTATCCATTGGACAAATACAAGATGATGTACTGGGTAGGGCTGCTCAAGGCATTGGCAACATACAGAAGCACACCGTCTGCTTTGAATGTGATGAACTCTACGTTCAGACGGAAGCTGAAAGAAATTTACATCTTTATGAGAAGACCAAAAAAAAAGCATGCGTCAAAGAAATATATTTCAGCAGCTAAAAGCATACTTTTTACACACAAAAAAAGAACAACATATTGTCTGCACCATTCTACAACTGTTTAAAGCTTAATCCTTTTTTAAAATTGAATTTTGAGAAAATAAAGAAAAAGAAAGTGTCAAAATCAGAACCTCATCTTGGGCACTCTTTATTCATCAAAGTAAGAGTTAAGTTAAACACTCCAAACAGTGACAATGCCTGTTCTTAATTAAAGTCCTTATATTTGCTAAAAAGTAGCACACTGAATGGAGCCGAAAGCACACCTTTCAGCAAAATAGCTCTGGAGCAGATCCCCAGTGACAAGTCGGTCCCACACAATATCCTTGGATCCATCAATGAGGATAGCCTCGTCCAGTGGCATCAGCTGCGGGACTGCAGGAGCGACACAGACGACGGGAGGGGTCTCGGTCACCACCGGAGGGGCAGGGGTCGAACCTGGCGGAGCTGGGATGCCAGCTAGTGATATGTCCTTGTAACTGACAATACTGTCTTGAAAGTACCTCCTGGGAAAGGGAGAACAGATGAGTAAATGGACTGATTGGTGGAATGATAGATTGAAGGATGGGTAGACGGATGAATGAATGAATAGATGGATGTACATCTGAATGAATTGATGGATTGAAAAAAACCCAGATGGATGGATGAATAAGAGATGGATGGATGGATGGATGGACAGACAAATGCACACATGGGTAGATACATAAAACAGTTAAATGGTTGTTAGGAGGAATAAACTGTAACTGTAAGTAAGAAAGAAAATGCTGGAGAATAATGCGTAAATAAGGTAATATACTGGAGTACCTGAAGAAAAAGATTCTGACTAAAAAAGATCTCCCCACTTCTTGACACTGAACTGGAAAAAAAGGCTTAATTTTGCTAACTTGCCTGCTCCCTGTTCAAAGAGACAGCTGAACATTAACTTAGAATGTAGCCTAATTGAAAAATATTTTCGTTCAAACAAATCCCAATTTTATTGAACTATGTGTTACATTTCAGTAAAATGTACGACATTTATAATTCATGCTATTTTCAAAGAAGTCTCTTCTGTAAAATGAGTATGTTTTTATATGATGTGGGCCAATGGCCTTAAACACTGAATTACATATAAAACACCTACCTACTTTCCTGCCTATCTACCTAGAAAATAAAAATATCTGATCACTCTTAAAATTTTTCGCGAAGCAAAAATGTGAACTTTCATTTTTAGACATCTCAACACATGTATCTTTGATGCTGATCCGATGTCACATTGTTCCTGTTCAATCAGTCTAAATAGCACAAGCAGGCCTAGGGACACAAATAGTCTGTGTGTGGTTCCACTAAGAGAAGGTACATTTCTTCCGCCCATCTCTTCTTATGGTAACTTCTACAGCACAACCTTTCTGTTGCAGGGGGATATTTTCTCACTGGTCACTAGCAACAGCGTCTTCAACCTCGCTCTTTTTATTGCCGATCTATTCACAAAGATCTAGCCCAGCAAGAAATAGATTCCTAAAGCAGCAGAACATACAGGGCTGCTTTCAAACTGACTTATCTATAATTTAGTTTTTGTAAGAGTTTCACGGCACTTGCAACACAATAAGGTCATATAAGCGCCGAGGATTAGAGGTGTTACTAGAGAGTAACAAACACAAAATAGAAGGAGGGGAGATATAGAAGATAGATTTTTGATAGGAAAGAAGGAGCAAACCACACCAGAGCACCTACCAACCATCCACTGACTTATCTATACATCTAGTAGGGAGCTAACTCCAGCAAAAGAAAACAGCAAAATAGATTGTTAGAGGCGCTACCAACCAACCTGCCATTGAGGTACAAGGCATTACTTCCTCCAATCAAAGACTTTCGAGCCGGGAGCTCTGGCAGAAGAGTGACACCCCCTGTGACTCCTCCCACGTATAGCGTTGCTGTCAGCGGGAAAGTCAGGAAGTTGGAATTCAGGGTCTGGGCGGGTTCCTCAAATACAATTCCATCTATCCTCATCGTTACACTGGGGAAAGAGGAAAAACTTCATTAAGAAATGTCATCACAATCAACAATAATAGAGTTCATTTCTATCACAGTTCACAGCCACTTAATGGTGACTCAAGGAGATTAACAATATTATTCACAACCAGACAAACTGAACACATGTAAAACACACTTTACACAAACACAGCTACTACATCATGCTGCTGATCAGCTGACTTCCCTCTCTTTCTTTACTACTTCTCTCTTTCTCTTTTTCTCCCTTTCTCTCTCACACACCTACATACATCTACCAAGACACAGAAATTTTCTCCGCATATATATCTTTCTCTTTCACTCTATTTTTCTCTCACTCTATTTCTCTTTCTCCCTCTCTCTCTCTCTCTCCCTCTCTCTCC